ACATATTGAAATTGGTGAATTTTTGTATCGCTATTTTAATATTGAAGATGGAAGAAAATATGTGACATTTTTGGCATACTATGCTTTATTCAATAAAGGTAAAAACGCAACTGAAATGCAAGAAAAAGGGGTGTGCCGTGTATGGAGAAGGTGCTGTGACCGATCAAACGTGACAAAAGTGGTTTGTGAAGTTTCGTGCTGGAGATTTCTCGCTGGTCAAAGCTCCACGGTTGGGTTAACAGTTAAAGTTGATAGTGATCAAATTGAGACATTGATCGAGAACAGTCAACGTTCTACCACACAGGAAATAGCCGTCATGCACTCAAAATATGCAGGTCAATAAAGTTATTGGTGAAAATGAAAAACGTGTCTTTTATCGTTCAGAAAAAAAAGCCCACATGAACTTTTTGTCCAACCCAATATATTGTTAAGTGAAAACAGCATGGCTTATAAAAGAAGGGTGCTTTGCTCTTGCACATCTAACAAGGAGGAAAGGGAAAGACCAAATACACATTCATTTTCACTTACATTTTTAAAATTAAAAGGCAGCCCAGTGGGCTGGACCGTTGCCCCATAAACTGAAAGGCCGCGGGTTTGACCCCGATCAGGGCACACGCCTGGGTCACAGGCCGGGTCCCCGGTGGGGAGCGTGCAGGGAGGCAGCCTATCGACGCCTCCCTCTCACGTCAGCATTTCTCTCCCTCTCTTTCTCCCTCCCTTCCCCTCTCTGTAAAAAAATAAATAAAATCTTTTTTTAAAAATTGAAAGATAAACCAAAACCTTTTTTTAAAAGGGCTAACTTGGGTGAAAGTAACAGGGAGAGAGGAAAGGAATAGAATCTAGAGATCTACGGATAAACTTTATTTTATATGTTTGACTCTGCCATGTAACTATTGTACACAATTATGAAACAAGACGAATTTTTAAAAAATATTGAAATAGTTAAGACAGTGAGTGGGTGGCATAACTCCATAGAGGAGAACTATTTCAAGTAACTTCAAGACGTGAATTTTACTCTATACACCTTGGAGGACACATGCTGAGGACAAAAACACAAAAACAAAAACCACCAATACAACAACAACCAGCCACCTCACAGAAGAGCTTAAATCGTTTTCAGTAACCGTGCTCTTCTTCTTGCTATTGATTTTGTTATTCTGAGACTGTGTTTATTACACATCGAGCAATCGCGTGGCGTTGGTAACAGGATTCGAAGCTGGAGAAGAGAGGCCCAGTTAAGGAAGGTAAGTGCCAGTCACAACTCCGTGGCTGGGATTCAGAACTGGAAGTTATCTGTTTGAGCGCATGATGTTTCTTATCTTCAGAATGCACAGTTCCTAGCTCTCTGCCCCGAATAGGCCCGGACGCTGTGACCAGCCCAGGTTTGGGCAGCTGGGCGCCATCCCCCGCGGGAGGGGACCGGGCGCCGCGGAGAAGCAGCACCCGGAGCGAGAGAGGTCACGGTCTGGGGCGGAACAGGTAGAACAGGAGCCTGGGGTAAACTGTCATCTCAGGGAGCAAGGAAGTTATACAATAAGAAGAAAATGGAAGTAAGGAAACTACAAGTGACAGCAACAAGAGGCTGCCTGTCACCTTGCAAACGTAAGGTGACCCGCACGCCCACGCCGTCGGTGGCTGTAATGGATCAGAACCTGTCTAGGAGGTTTAAATGCATGGGTTCGTAACCATGTCAAAGAGCACTTCTCATTGTTTACTGCTGGAGCAGGCTAGAAAGCCCAATTGTCATTTCGAAAACTGGCAAACTAAATCAGGCATTTATTCCTCAGGTAGCCAAACCGCTCATGGAGGAAGGTTCTCTCTCTCTCTCTCTCTCTCTCTCCCCCTCCCTTGGCTGCAGGTAATAAGTGAAGACGGAAGGACAGAATGGCAGCCGCTGCTTCCACCAGGCTCAGGGCCTCGGGGGCACCCGCCACGACGCCGTGGCGCTCACGCACACGAGCCGCGGAGCAAACTGGCGTCCCGTGCCTCTTCCGGGAAGGCCGCCATCTGCTCCAGGCATCCTTGCCCAAAGGAGCGAACCCGAATCTGACTGGGGCTCCAGAGCTGGCCTTGCGTCCCAGGAGGCGCAGGGCCCAGGGTGTGCGACCAGCCGGCAGCTCCTCGGCACGAATGACCCGTTTCCTCAACAAGCAAGTGACAAGTTCAGAAAATAAAGGAAGAGGAAGCGGAGGAGACCCGCACGTTTAACAGAACTTCAGGTCATAACACCCGGTTGCAACACAGGCACCTTATTTGAGCAAATTAATTATAAAAGAAATCATGAGACACATAGGAAATTTGAGCACTGGCTAGATATTCGGTGCAATTAAATAACTAGTATGAAGTTTCAGATGAGATAATAGTGTTACGGTTTTATTTTATTTTTGTAAATCCTCCTTCAGAGATACATACTGAAATATTTGCGGGTAAAATGATACATCTGGAATTTGCTTCACAGTATCCGGTGTGTGCGTCGGGGGTGCCCACGGAATGGAACCGGCCAGGCCTGGGCCGTCGCTGAAGTCGAGCAGGGGCTACATGGAGTTTCCTTTCCCTCTTCTTGCCACTTTTGCAAATGTTTGACGTTGACTATGATAAAAATATATATTTTTTAAAAGTCACGCCCATTCTGCTCTCGCTCTTGCGCACCTACGCCTGGGGGAGGCGAGCCTCTGCCTCCCGACGGGCCCAGTGCAGTCAGGTGTCTTTCTGGGAAGCCGGGCAGCGATCTGACTGCAGGAGGCCACGGCACAACTGAACGGGGGCGGGCGGGGGAGGGGGGCGCCGGGAGGGCGGGAGGGGACGGGCCGCTGGACCGGAGCCGAGGTTAGGAGGGGCCTCCTGAAGCCGGAACAGGCCTGGCAGCGCCCGCCGCGGCTCGCAGCCCCCCAACACGAGTCCCATTTCAGCGCCCGACCTCCGGGACGCAGATCACCGGCCGGCGTTGTTCAGGCTGTGGGAACGCGTCACGGCAGCCGTCGGACGCGCGCACACCCCGTTTGCGGGGCCCGGGCACCGAGCGGGGCTCACGGGCGGCCTGGAAGTGGGGCTGCCCGCGCCCGAGGCCGAGCGCTGGGAGACGTGCGACCTCCCGGAGCACGGGGCCAGCTCCGTCCTAGGCCTGTTCACGACACGCGTGCTCCCATCGCGCCCCCTCCCCCGGCCACGGCCGCAGTCCCCGCAGCAGCCGGAGGACAGGCACGGCCCCGCGGAAGGGAACACCCTGGAGCTACAACACCCCCCCCCCAGCTCGGGGCTATCCATTAAAGAGGGCAGTCAAGGCCTCCGAGGGATTTGTTAATGTGAACATGTCATCATTATCTTGCGAGTTGACCTTCGTGTGACTCTTAGCTCTTACTAATGTCAAAGGAGAGTTTAAAAAAAAAAACACAACAAACTGGTTTTCTACCAGGGCACGTTCATGGGTATTTTAAAGTCAACATTATTATGAGACCAATAAATTCATTTCAACAATTAGTATTTTGTCAGGTGGAAGGGAAAATTCCAAACGAATGGAACTAAATCATGTTCGGTTAGAAAATGCCACAAGGAAGAAAGGGAAGTGGGAGGGAGGGGAGGAAGGAGGGGGAGAGGGAAGGAGGGGTCACGGGGGTGGGGGGAGGCTCAGCCGAGGTGCCCACCTGTGGGGAGCGCCCGCGCCTGCCCCGGCGTGAGCGCCGCCTCCGGGTGTGTCTGGGAGGGGTTTGAACCGGGGGAGCGAGTTGCGTCCCCGGCCCCCCACAGCACGGACAGGCCTGGTCCCCTCGATGCCCCGTGCTCTGCCCGGCGCCGCGCTGGGCCCTACCTGCTGCTGCCCGGCTCTCAGGCCTCCCCAGGCCCGGCCCCTCTGGGCTGCGGGTCTGCAGACGCCGCTGACTGCGCAGGTCCGTGGGCCACGCCCCCCAGGGCACCCCAGAATCTCATGACTCTCTCTCTCATCAGCTGCGCCACCCGGGGCTCGGGGACGTGGACGCCCGGCCCCCAGGGCTGGGCTGCGAGCGCAGGCTGCCGGCAGGAGCGGCCGGGGGCCTGGGGGTCGGTCCACACGGCCAATGCCCAGCTCTGCAGTGGTGGTGCAGACCCGACTCAAGAAGGGTAGAAAGTCGGTAAACTGAAGGGAAAGGCCCCAGGACTGTGTACTTGGACTTCCACACTCTCCGGGGCTCCTCTCACACGCAGCTCTGCTCGGTTCAGGCGTTTGCGACACTCCTCGCGCCGGCGCCTGCGGCTCCCGAGGGCGCCCGTGTGTGACTAGGAGACAGGCCCGGGGGGAACCCGGGAGTCCTCGTCACGCTGCCACCAGCCACGGGCCGGCCCTGCTGTGGGCCCCTTGTCCCCACAGCTCCAGCCATCTGCGCGGGGCCTCAGCCAGACAGACAGCCCGGCTGTCGGAGCCCGTGCGGCTGGCCAGTGGCTCGTGGGGGCTCAAACACTCAGGGGGGGGGTCCTTTGGTTTCCTGAGCTGGCCCGGTGTGCACGAGAGAGGTGGCCATTCCGGGCCAGCGTCCCTCAGTGTCTGGGCCCAGACGCCGGATCTAAGTCCATGAGCGGCTGCTCACTGGGCGGCACCACAGTCTTAATGTGAGCGGGGGGCCGCAGCCTTCTGTTTGGGTGTCATTACCTTTTTACGTATTTAAGGCAAAAGAAAAGCGATTGTCCTTTCCAGCCTCATTCGGCACCCTGCTTCTGAGCGGCCCGGTGCCTGCCACCCTGTCCGGTCCTGTCGTCACACCGAGGGCACCCTCGGGCCGCGACCCCGGCTCCAGCCCGCGCGCTGTTTGTGTTGGAACCGCATCAAGAGGGGCTGGCGGAGCGCGCCCTGCGTGCGGAGCGGGCCAGGCACGGCCCCCTGGCCTTTCTCCAGCCAATGGCCCTGGCCCGTGCGCAGCCCTCGGCCTGGAGACGTGCGGACACCCTTGGATGACTTCACAGAAACCGGGGGCCAGCCTCCTCCGGGGACACGCAGCAGCTCCGGCCGCGCGGCCTCCGGCGCTGCCGCCATGGCCAACGGCACCAACGCCTCGGCCCCGGACTATGGCTACGAGTACTACCTGGACTACCTGGACCTCATCCCCGTGGACGAGAGGAAGCTGCGAGCCCACAAGCGTGAGTCCCCGCGCCGGGCCGGCCGGCCGGGCAGCGGCTGCGGCGGCCCGAGCGGCTTTTCCTCCCCGCACCCGCTCGCCTGCAGGGCCGCGGGCAGGCGGCGGCCGACCCTGCTGGCAGAGGCGTGAGCGGGCGGGGACAGGCGCCTGCCACCTCTGCAAGCGTCTGGGCCCACCTCCCGGGCAGCTCAGACACCCCGGCGGGGATGAGTCTCTCGGGCGGACGGCGTCCTCGCAGGGCGGCCTTTGCCTGGGGCCGCGGTTGGAGGCGAACCCCACCCGCTGCAGGTCTCGGGCTTTCTGGGGCGTGCACAGGTTGGCGAGGATGTCGTTTCTTCTGTCCCCCAAGATGTTATGACCTCATGATTTCCGTTAAAATAGCCACTGCTGTTCGGCCTTCCTGGCCTCGGGAGGGACAGGCAGAGCGACGAACCCCTTCTGCCCACCCCGCCGCCGGCCTTTGCCTCCTGGTAACGTGCGGCCCCTTGTCCTCCGTCCTCTCTGGTTATGCCAGCGCTTGGTCAGGATGGCAGTTTGCCATCTTGGGGAGATAGATTGGCATGAAAAGCAAAGGGAAAAGCCTTGGCCTGGCAGCCGGCGCTCTGCCCCCCGCGTCTCGGGTTCCCTAGGTCTTTCTGTCCGGAAGCAAATGCAGAGGCTGACGGGTGGCCGGCCCTTTCTGCGACAGGGAAGCTGGTCGGGGGCACGCCAGCCCCAAGCCCCAGCTGGCGGCCAGTGCTCCCGGTCACTGCCAGGAGCCTGCGGGGCTCATCTCCTCTGGACCCGAGGTCACACACAGGCGCCGGGCGTGGTCGCTGAGGACTTGCCGCGTCCCGGTGCCTCCCGACGCTCTCGGGAGTCTGACAGATTTGGGAGTGTTTTCAGATGCGCGGTGTATATACTCAGAAAACTGGAATGCAGATTTTTATACAGAGAGCTCAATAATCAGGAAGACAGACAGTAAGGAAGAAAGCGGCAGGGTAGAGACAAATGCCTACTCATGTCTACTGTCCGAGCGCTGGACTCCAGGGCGCATACTCATGCGGACGAAACGCGGACTGCGCTCAGGAAAGCCTCTGTTTGAGTAACACACGTACAGTTCTGGGTCAGCTTCAGACACTCACCGCCTCTCATGTGCCCGACATCCGGCTCCACGCCCCCTGCCCCCCGCCTCCAAAGCTTCTCCCGCTGCTTTGGGTCCGAGCTTAGACGCCCGCCCTCTCAACCTTTGGCCTCCTGATCACAAACAAGCTCCGTTTCTGGGAAGAGGGACTGATGTTCTCTGAGTTGGGGGTGAGGTTTGAGAAGATGTCCTTTCTTGCCCATTGAACTAGAGTTGGGAGTTCACGGCCTGGTGACCAGAGAAACGAGGTCAAATAAGACACCAGTCCCCCGTCGCTGAAACCCACTGAAGACCACCGCAGGGAGCAGCCTTGCCAGAGAGGCCAGCCCCCCCGCCCCCCTAAATCCTAGATGTTGGGGGCTTTGGACACCCACGGGGAGAGACCAGCCTCTGGGTCCCCCCAAGGAGAAGAAACATCTATTGGTATTTTAGCAGAAATGATTCAAGTTACACATTTTAGGGGATGGACAAAATGCCTCTCTTCCCCACGTACACACAGATGGTGAAAAACACAGACTCTGTAATTTGAAGAAGCACCCCGCCCCCGGCGTCCTGGAACCCCAGACAAAGGAAGTAAATACTATCGAGAAATCCATCGTAAAAGAACAGCTTCCCAAGTGTCTCCGTTTGTTAGGACGTTCACGTCAGGTCGATTGCAGAGGGTGTTGGGTGCCACTCGCAGCCAGACCGCCCAGCGGCGCCCGCGGGGACAGACCCAGGCGCGCCCCTGCCGCCTTGTTCCTCTTCCTCTCCGAGGCGTCCCAGGTTCCAGGCTTCTCTGGGTTTAGTTTCTGTTTTCTCTGGAAAACAGTGTGCGTTGGGCAGATTCTGCCCCGGGCTTCACTGCGGCAGAGCACGCGTCCGCCACACGTGGCGAGCTGTGTCCCCACACGCCTCAGCCGCGCCCGCTGCCCGCCCTTCCGCGCGCTGCTCTTGCGGCGGCACAACGTTCTGCTCCCCTGTGTTGCTACGTGTCCCTCCGCAAACCCCCGCGAGGCGCTGCACGGTGCTCTGGAAGTGCGCCGTGGGGAGCAGCGGCCATGGGGGGGCCCTTCCTGCCCGGCCAAGTGCCAAGCGCCAAGCTAAGACATCTCGCCTACTTTTGTCCTCAGCATTTCCATTCAGAGACGGTCACTAAAGGAAGAGAAAAGCCTAAACAATGTAAAAATGCAAACACAGAAGGACATCTCTGTCATCCAGACCCTGGGTCCCCACTGCCGCGGTCTCACTTGTTTTCTGCAGTGACTGGTGACATTGTCAGGTGCTCAGGGAGGCGCTGTCACTTGGCTTCATAAGAGTGGTCAGCTGAGTGGGCGTCTGGGTGGAAGGTGGACAGAGGGCACTAGAAAAAAGCAGGCCACCTTCTTTGCTGACAAGTGCAACCTCCTCTCCCCACCGGTTTCTCTGGGTTGGGTCCCCTCCCGAGTCAAACAAGGCAGGGAGCATCGCGTTCCAGCTCAGCACAGTGGCGGGCACACCGAGGACCAAGAGCCTGGGAGCGGCGGGCGAGCCGGGCGCTTTCGGGCAGGACAGGAGGCCTGGCTGTGCCCAGGCAGCGGCTGGGACGAGGCGACCAGCCGCTTCCATCCACTCTCGTGCCGAGTGGACGACGAGGCAGAAGAGAGAGAAAAGCGCCCAGGGCTCATGTGCCAGCAGGCGGGCAGGACCTGAGGCCTCTGCGCCTGTGTCCCACAACCAACTCTGTCCCTCGGGGGTGGGCAGGACGCTGCAGACACCGAGCATTTCCTCTGCCTCCTGGGAGTGCAGTGCTGGCTGAGGGCTGTGGCCTGCCCCTCCGCGGGGGTGGCCTGAGAGCTGGCAGGGCTTTGCTGCAGGAGCTTGACAAGGATTCTCCCCCTCGCGATTTTTGCCGTGTCCTCGACCCTGTGGACACTCCCCGTGGGGCGCAGTGACGTGCTGCCTCCTCCCGGGGCCGGCGCGCCCCCTTCGTTTAATTGCGTGGTCGCGGACCCTGTTGAGTCTCGCGGGCGCCCTGCCTGCGGCGGCTCCGGTGGGAAGGCGTCTGCCTGCCGCTCCCAGGGCTGCGAGGGGAAGCACCAAGCGGGTGGTCGTCTCCAAGCGCGGTGCACAGAGCTCAGTGGGAAGACTGAGCAGAGGGCCGGCCTTCCTGTCTCTCTCGCCCACAGTGGCCCCTTCAGGTCATGACCTTAACTGTGACCTCTAGCTCTTCAGCACGGGCGGGTCCCATCGGCAGAGCAGAGAAGGGGGCTTTAAACCGCGCTATGAGGATGCTCACTTGGAACAAGCTTCCCGTCCAGGGAGCCCCGTGGGGCACTCTGCTCGAGTGATTCTGCAGCTGCTCAAAAATTCGGGGCTCTTCTTTCAGACCCAAGGTTGCTGGCCACAGCATATTCTGTGAAACATCTACAGCGATGTTTCTTTTGTATATTATATGTATCTTTTGAGGGTGAATTTGCTTTTGGGAAATGGTTAAGAATAATGAAGAAACCAAGTGGGTGAATGACATCAGCCAATCAATATGAATTGGGTGTCAGAAGCTAACTATGCCCTTGTAACGTAGCAAAAGTGGTGTGTGTCCTTGAAGGTAAATCCAGAAGAAGAATTTATCAACGTTTATGAGTGTCTGAGAAGTGTTTGATTAATATATGCATTTTAGGAACACTGATACGATTCCCTGGCGGAGAGAGGATGGTTATTCTGAAGGTGGGTATTCATCTGGATTTGAAAGTTTTAGTACGTTCCTTCTGAAAGTCAGCTTCTTACTGACTTGGTAACGAACACTGGCCACAACGGACAGAGGACCGGAGGAGGCGCAGGTCGGCTTCCCTCCACGGAAGAGCCCGCGGGGCAGCCCCATGGAACACTCCGGAGCAGCCTCATTTGGTTCGTTGTGCTGCCGTCCCTGGGACGTGTCCCTCTTCCTCATGTTCCAAGCCCCACGCTGGCACCACATCCACATTCTGGGCAGAAAATGTGCAAAGAGGATAAGAAGGGTCACAGGTAGTACAAGTCCAGCAGTCTCTGCAGAAAGATCCGTGAAACGGTCCAGGAACAGTTCCACCCACCTCTCATTGGCCAGAACCTGGTCACATGGCCATAGCTAGCTGCAAGGGAAGCTGGGAACGACGGTCTTTGTCCTGGGCAGCCCAGCTCTAGGCAGAGGCTCTGTCACCAGGGAAGTGCCTGGCATCAGACGTTAGGAGGGGCAGCAGGCAACCTGTGCCAGTTACTTTAGCCACATTTTATGTTTTAGTGAGCTTGACGGACGCTGTGACAAGCCCTCTTAACAGAAATAACATCATTCTATTTATAGATTCCTTCACAGCCATCAAACAAGGAACTGTGCCATGTGCATTATACATGCATGTCTTATTTAGTCTGTGTGACAGTCTACATAGCACATACTATCATGCCCACTTAACAGAGGAGGAAACAGGTTTAGAGATGTGGAAATGCCGGATCGTCGGAGATCACGGAGCTAGGAAATGGTGGAGTCACGATTCGAACTCAAAACCACCCACCTCCAGGGCCTCGGGCCTTAACCGCGTGTTAGTCTCCAAGGAGGGCAAATCTTGGAGTTAAGCTTCTCCTAGGGCCTGGGCCTCAGGGGTGAGTAGCATTTGGGGGAATGTTAAAAACTGAGGCTTAGCATTTTCCACTCAATGACACTGAGGTGCCTACAGTGATTAGGAAGCATTTTGATTGAATTAATGCACTAACTCAAAGTTTGGATAAGAAATCCCCCAGGGGGCCCTGCAGCCCGGCCACGCCATCCAGAACCCTCTCTTGTCAGTCCCCTGTGGCCGCTCAGTCCCCTCATTCTGCCGGTCAGGCCCCAGGGAGGGAGGAGGGAGGAAGGGGGGATGTGGAGGAGAAGAGGGAAGGAGCACGTGGGGGGGCAGGGAGTGTGGGGGCGGGGCCGGCCCCACTGCCGGCCAGCCTGGGGCCGCACCGCTCACGAGTGCCGGGAAGGGCGGCGCTGCCCTCGGACGGAATGTTCTCCACGAGCCCTGAGGCCGACCCCCCATAGGAGGGGGAGGGGGCCCTCTTTTCTTGGCTGCCGTTCCCAACAGAACATGATGGAAGAGAACTGGATACAGGAAACAGGCTCCCCATGGCCCTTTCCTTCTGACAAAATTCAGATTTCCCTCGGCCCTCGGACCGCTCTGTGACAGGTGTGGCCTCTGGTCCTGCCTGGTGTGTGGGGACCGTGACCCAGGGCAGGCGCCGGGCCGTGTGCGCTGGAGGGGGCAGGGAGGGGGCCCTGAAGCTGCTCCCGCAGAGGCTCTGACGGAGCTTCCCTGGCCCCGCCTTGCTGTCAGGGTGAGAAAGGGCGCCAGCTCTGCGGAAGTCAGCCCCAGCCCCAGAGAGCCCGCCCGCCCCGTTCCCGAGCTTACACACGCCCCCCTCGGGGTCACCAACACCCCGTGACCCTTTGGGAGGGACCCGAACCGAAGCAGGTGCAGCGAAGAGTGGGGCTGCCGTGGCAGTCAGCGTGAGCGAGGGAGGGAGGGAGCGTCGGAGATCTCGCCCCCAGCACCTGCTGTCCGCTCTGCTCAGACAAACTCTTACAGCAAAGAAAGTCGGCGGCAGCTTTGAAAAGCCTTAAGCTTAGGTTGGGCCTCATAAACCTAGTTTGCGTTTCCCAGGAGCTGGAAGGCCCCCCTGAACGGTTCTGTGCTCTAGGGTGCGGCGTGGGCCCCTCAGCTCGGGGACGGAGCGGAGCAGCCGTGCCGGCCGCCCCGGGCCTCTGCCGTCCCTGACGGCCGCGCTGCTGGCGCATCGGCGGCGGCGGGGCCCTGTGTCCGACCCTGACTGTTGGGGTCTGAGACCAGCTCTCGCACGTCCTCAGAGTCCCCACGAGCGTCTTCCTGTTTGAGCAGCGCTCCCTTGAGGCAGGGCAGAGTCAACGCGGCAGGACGCTGGCAGGAGGGGCTCCCGGGGGCTCTGGGGCCAGACCGGGCCCTCTGAATCCTGAACGGCCGCTGGCACAGCCTGGCTCGGTAGGGGCTTAACAAAGGCCTGTTGGGGGCCGCCCTTCTGTGGCCTCCCTTGGTCGCACCTGCTGGGGCCCAGCGTATCCGGTTGGGGCATCTTGTCATGGGCTCGTGAGCGTGTCTGGGACAAGGCACGCACAGGCATGAACCGCGAGCCCGTGCCCCGAGCCCACACATGGCCACCCGCCAATAAGCCCTGCCAGCGGCAACCGGGCGGAGAGCAGCCCCTCGGCCCCCGCCCCGGGCATCCCCGCCCCGGCCTCCGGCCGCAGGCACAGCTGCAGGTGTGCTTTTCCTCCTGCTGCCGCCCCAGGGGAGGGGAGGGCCGGCTCTGCCCGGGCCCCTCCCGGGCAGGCTGACAGCAGCTACCCTTCCTGGGGGCGGGGAAGGGCAGCGGGGGGCACTGTGCCCCGGGCACGCCCTCCCTCTCAGCCTCCAGCTCCCGGCCGGGCGCTCACCAAGGCCCTGCAGTGCTCTCGGGGGCGGGGGGGGGGGGGCCGCGCCCTGTCCCTCGAGCTGCCCCTCCCCAGCCCCTTCTTCTCCCTCCCACGGGAAAGGCAGGAGGGGAGCCTGTCGTCTGAGCAGCAGCAGCAGCTCGAGGAAGCGTGCCCACGGGGTGCCGCCCGCGTTGTTTGCTGCGTCCCCCTGGCCGACAGATGCCTGCTTGGGCAAAGCCCCTTCCAGCCGCCCTGTTACTTCCCAGCAGCCGTGGCGGCCGGGCGGCCGGACACCCCGCTCACCGTATCCCCGCAGCGTCGGCCCTTCCCCTCACGGGGGAGGGGGCCGTGTGACTCCCTGATGCTGGCTTCCCCTCCCCCGCAGATGCCGTCGCCATCGCCTTCTGGATGAGCCTGGTGGCCTTCGTGCTGCTCCTGCTCCTCGTCCTGCTCGCCATGTCCTGGGCAGGCTCCCCGCCGGCGCGGTAAGCAAGGCAGGCGCGGGCCTGGGGGCGGCCCAAGGGGCCGAGTCCGAAGGCGTCGCAAGGCCACGCAGTGGAGCGTCGCCCCGCCGTGGAGAGGAGCGGCGGGCGGCCACCGGCTGCGACGCGGGTGGGAAGCGGGGCGCAGTGCGGCGCGAGGGAAGCCAGGCACACAGGCCGCGCGCCGTGAGCCGCTGGGGCGGGGGACGCTGGCAGAGGCGGACGGGTGGCACCTTCCGGGCTGCAGGGACTGCTCTCAAGCACGCAGTGCCGACGGCCGCGCAGCCCCGGATGCGCTGAGGCGCCCCGGGCTGGCCTTGCGAAGGGCTGGGCCCCACTGCGTGTGAACCATGGTCCACGTACGCTGTTCGATGCAACGGAGCCCGGCCGGCGACCCGGGTGCCAGGGCGGCCTCGCCGAGCAGCCCGCGGGGAAGGGGCCCCCGCGGAGCTGCCTGTGCCGCTGCTGTCACCGAGAGCCCGCTGCGGCCGCAGGGCTTACCCTGCAGGCCAGCCCAGGAGCTCCAGGTGGTAACCGGAGCCTGGCTCCTCTGGGATCCTCCTGCGCCAGCCTAGGGACCCCACCCCCACTGTGCCCTTCCTGCCTGGCCTGCCCCCGCTGCCGCGGCCCCTCCCTCTCCCTGCGGAGCTGATGGGTGCAGGGCTGGAGCCGGTGGGCTGGGTGGGCTGGGTGGAGCGGGCGGTCCCCAGGGCAGCCGGCCAGGTGCCACATGGCGCAGGGCAGCGGGCACAACAGGGCAGCGTGGGCGGCGGGTAGGGGAGCACAGCAGCTGGGCTGGCAGAGGGTGGCGGGGGGCCCACGAAGCTCCCGCGCAAGCTGTAGGGCGGCCCCCACCATGGAGTCGCAGGGCCAGCTCCACGAGGGCCGGGGGCCGGGGGCCTGGGGCCTGAGCAGGTGCAGACCCGCCCGTGCCCCCCGCCCTGCGCACGGCCCCTCACGTGCTGTCTGCTCGCACTGCTCCCTTCTGCCCTGCGGTCACGCGTGGGAGGCAGACCTAAGGCTAAGTAATGAACAAATCCACTATTTCTTTTGGTTTCTTAGAACTCACTCACCTTGACTTTATGCAGAATTTTACTACCAAGAGATACTGGGGGGTGGAGGGGTGTTAACCGACACAACCCCTGGCGAGCCCCGTGCCCAGACGGTCTGCCGGGCCGCCAGTGGGAGGCTCCGGTCCGGGGCGGGGGCGGGGGCAGTACCAGGAGGCTGCGGGGTCCCGTGCATCTGCTGGGCCGCTGCTCATCCGGACGGGCCGGGCTCGCCAGGAACAGCGCCGTCCGCTGTCCCGATCCCAAGCCACAGGCGTGAAGGGCTCAGGGTGGCACCGCGGTCCCACGTGGGGTTCGGGGGAGGACCCGACGGGCCCCCGGCCACTGCTCCTTCGGGCCAGTGCATTGGACGGGACGGTGCTGCCCCTGGGGCCCTCCCAGCCGCTCCCAACCCAGCGCTTCCACGTCCCCACGTGGCGGCCACCTTGCGAGCTGGGCTGGCCCTGGTCGGGGTGCTCACATGGCGTGGCACCTTCCCTTCAGGCTCGGCCAGGCAGGAGGGTGGGGCGCACGGCCCCCGGAGGGACTGTCCTCCAGCAGCTGTGACGTGTGCTTCCCGCCTCTGCCCACAGGAACCACGCCCAACACCAACCCTCCTGCCCCTGGGGTCTCTGCCTGCACCTCCCCCTCCGCTCCCTGAGGCACCTGCTGCTCCACAGGGTCCCCTACGGGGCCCCACCGGCCCCGCCACAGCAGCTGCGGCGGGAGGGCCCCGCCCCCTCGACCTTCACCGCGCCCCAGGCCCACCCTGCTCTCCCGCAGGAACAGGCCCCCAGCGGGGACCCCACGGCATCAGTGGACGTCGGCCACAAGCCCAGCTGGCCGCCCCCCGGACACGGACCCGACCCTGGCAAACTGCAGCCACTGCCGAGCGACCCATGATGCCAGCCGGCTGGGGCGCGCGCACCCTCTCAAAGCCACCGCAGGCCGCGGGAAGGGCAGTGTGTTGAGAACGGCGGCACGAAGGCACGTGGACATGCACGCGTGACCCGCACTGACCGGAGGCCGCGCAGCCCTCGCCCCCGGTGGCCCCCGGGGGAAGGCGGAGGGGTAACACGTGTAAATAAAGACTTTGCAACGCTCCCTCACTGGTCTTGGCCGAGCCGCGTTGTGGCTTCTGCTCCCACCGCTGCTGCATGGCACCGACCCTGGGCTCGGTCGGCCGCCGTGCTGCTGTCAGAAGGCCCAGGGCCGCGCCAGGCTGGGGCCGGGGGGTCGGGAGGGAAGCCGGGGGGCACGGACCGACTGAGGCGCCGAGAGGGGCGAGAGAGGGACACACGTCCTTTCGGACCAACACGCAGGGCCCTGACACGGGGCTGTTCCCACAGGGCACTGTGGTGGGCGTCTCGGGCGGGGGGGGCGGTGGCCGCTGCTCGCCACCCAACAGCGAGCCCTGTTTGTGGTTGAGGGGGGCTGGGGGCAGACAAGCTCCACTCTTGTCTGGGCTGCAAACCTTGCACGAGGAAAAGCAGAAAAGCCCAAAGGACTGGGGCACCTGGAGAGGTGTGAGGGCGGCCGCCGCAGCCGCGCTGCTCTCCACGGGGCGCACGTCTCACCGGCAAACAGTGCCCCCAGTGAGAGGCAGGGCGCGGCTCTGCGGCGGCGCGGGCCGATGGCCGGGCCGCCCCGGGGGGCCCGGGGTGTGTGCGCGGCCCCCGCAGAGCTGCACACGAACAGGCCAAAGCGCTGGCCCTGAAACCCGTTACCGTTCGCATGCCACGTCTGTCGACGCAGACACCCGTTAACGCAGGAATCTGAAGCGTTGAACCCCGGCCTCTGCCACGCGCGTCTCTGTGCCATAAAAACAGCCTGTTGGCATCAGTTATGCAAACCACAAAACCTAACAAAAATAGACATTTATTACCAAGTTTCAAAGTCCCCTCTTTGGCACACAACCTTAAAAAACACAGGCTACCTTCCCTAAGCAGAGCTCAGGTCAATGTTATCCTTTAAGGATTTGCTATAACACCCTTTCACTTAATAAAATAATGAAGAACCTCTGGCAGGAGTTCACGAAACACATACACGAGCCTCGACACGACCCCTCACAGAAAGGCTCCCGGCGCCGCTGCCCGCGCCGCGCCTCCGGCCGGGTCTGGACGTCTTCTAACGTCTGTGACGCGTGACGCTGGCACGGGAACGCCCCTCGGAAGGGCGATGGACCCCGTGAGGACGCGCCACCCTCCGACGCCCCGAGGGGCCCCCGGGCACCGCGACGTGGACTGTGTGCGGTCGCTCTGGGCAAGGAAATAAAGCCGACTTTTCTCGTCAGGAGACTGAGTCAATATGCCAGCTGTCCCTTGCGTGTCTTCCACGGAAAACGACTCAAACTTCTAGAACCTGCCTGAGGCGCCAGCCAGCATGGTGTCCTGCGTCGGGGCCACGGCGGCGACGTCCCTGCAGAGCCTGACGATGGCGTCCTGGTCGTCGCTCGGCGCATCCCCTGCAGCATCACAGACCATCTGGACGTGGGCGGCGAGCGCGTCCGGCCGCGGGGCCCCCAGCCAGGCGTCCTGGATGTACAGGGACAGCAGGAAGGCCGCGGAGGCTGCGGGGAGGGGGACAGGGGGCCGTCAGGACACAAGCCTGCTCGGCCGGCACGCGGTCACCGCCACCCACACGGGACACGCGTTGCTGGGTGCCCCACGCACCACACGCACACCTGCAGCCGCCAAGCTGAGCGGGCAGGTGAGACTAATTTTGCCTTTGCTTAACTTTTGGGATAATAGTTTTGTCCACTGAAAAAAAATCTGTATTTTTATTTGAAAAATGTAGAAAAGTTGCAACAAGTCATGTCCCCTCTCGGTCTGATCGCCGACGCCAAGAACCACACCAGGGCTCGAGGAGGGTGTCACGGAATGACCTGCTGTCCCCGCTACCGCAGGGAAGCAGTACACACTTAGGAAAGCCCCCGGCTTGCGGGGAGGGGCAGCCCCCGGCAGGACGTGGGGCCCTGGGGCGAGCACCTGCTCCTCTGTCAGACGGCCATCGCTGCAGGCCCCGCCCCCACCCCGCCCCCACCCCCGCCCCCGCCCCGGCGGGGCCACTGCCCGCGGCCCCCAGGGCTGTGCTGCGCGGCCGCCCCCACGCCCACCCACAGGACCCACCCGCTGGTCACCTCGTGTGGCTTCCTCTTTGTCCTCCAGAGCCGACAGGCGGAGGGTCTCGACCGCCGGGGGCAACGGGGCCCCCAACAGCTGCAGCATGACCGCACTGGGCTGGCAGGCCCTGCTCTGCTCGGGGGCCCCCAGCCCTTCCTCGCCCCAGAGCCGGCTGTACAGCTGGAACAGGCTGCTCCTTGCCACGCTGTCCTGGAGCAGGTCAGCCACGAGTGGCTGATGCGGCGCAACGTGGCTCTGCAGCCAGCGGAACAGCCCCGCAGCCTGGGCCCCACCAAGTGGGTGCTCGGCTGCCGACTGCAGTACCCAGCGGACCGCCAGGGACGCCACGGCATGTGCGGGGCCTGTGGTGCTGCTCTGGGGCGGGGCCTGGCCCCCGGGGCCCTGCGTGGGGCCGGGGAACACTGGCGCCCAGTGGGTCAGGATGGACGCCAGCAGGCCCTTGCACGTCTCCATACTGGACGCCTGCAGCTCCGGGCTGGCCGCCTCGGCCGCCTCGGCCGCCTCGGCCGCCTCCCCAGGCCCACTCTTCCTGCCCTGAGGGCCTCGGGCTCGCGGTGGCGCGACAGGCTTGTTCTTGTCCTTGAGCATTTCTGTTAGAGAGAGAAGACGGGGTGAGGCTGGTGCCCCCAGTCGGGGGGCGGGCGCGTGGTGGGGGGTGCGCAGGAGACACCCCCAGGCGCCGAGGGGTCAGCCCTGCCCCGCAGCACATGCCACCCCACCCGGAGCTCAGCGGGCGCGGCATCGGGCTGGGTGGCGCCCCCGCTGGGACAGGCGAGTGCCCTGACGGGGCAGAGCCGGACGCAAAGCTGGGCCCCCGGGTCCCCTGGGCGACGGACAGGCGGCTCTGCGCCTTGCCCACCACGGGAACGCTGCCCAGAGGGGACAGTGCAGGGCGCTCTGAGGGACGTGAGGCCGGGGCGCGGGGCCGCACGCACTCAGCAGCTCCCTGGCGTGGAGCTTCTCCGCGGCGGCTGTCAGGGCCTCCTGGAGCGCGATGTCCCTCTCGAGGAGGCTCCACTTGTGCAGGAGGACGAGGGCATCCCTGGTGGACAGCGCGGCCGCGTTCACGGTGAAGCGGCCCCTGTCCCTGAAGGCCTGCATGACGGTGGCCCGGTACCTCAGCACGGAGTCCAAGGCCCCGAAGAAGCTGGTCAGCGGGGCGGGGGCCAGGCCGGGCCTGCGGGGAGAGAGGCGCCACCTGAGCAGAGCCGCCCCCCGCCCTGCAGCCCCGGCCGGGCTGGGGGTCAGTACCCCGGCGCAGGGCACGCACGGGCCTGAGGGCTGGCCCTGCAGGCACAGATGTTCCCTGGAGACCACAACGGGCGGACGGACGGACAGTGGGCAGCGAGCCCGAGGGCCGGGCGCCAGCCGGAAACACACACCCCTGAGCCCGCTCCTGTCTCGTTCACTGACTTGGCGAGAGCGCAGCAGAGCCTGGTGCCGCAGCGCCCTCGGCCAGACCTGCCGCTGGAGGCTGGGGAGCTGGCCCTGCGAACAGGCAGCGCATGCGGCTCCGCACCGTCCGCCCCACACGACCTGACCGCTGCGGCCGCTGTTGAGAGCAGCAGCCCGTCCTCGGGGCCTGGCGCGCCCGTCACTGGCCCCGGCCCCAGGGCGCCCACTCGGAGGGGCCGCCCGCCTGCAGCCAGACGCCCGGCGTGGCCCGCGCGAGGGCCCTGAGGGGGGAGCCAGAGGACCTCGCGCGCGTCCCCAGGGCGCAGGTGAGAGTGCTCAGGTTTCCAGGAAAGCTCGCGGAGGAGGGCCCTGAGCAGGCGGAGGCCGCGCTGGGAAACACACTCTCCCTACAGAGGCCCCGGGGGCACCAGAGTGGGCGGGCGCCTGCGTTAGCTCCTCCGGGCCTTGAGGGGGGCCCTGGGAAGGTGAAGTGGGAGAGAGAGAACAGCGAAACCGGGGCCTTCCTGCCGCCACCCCCCACGGCCGCAGCTCCGGCCCAGGGCCCCGCTGTGGGGACGAGACCAAGGGCACCGTGCGTGCCAGAGGACAGCGCCCGGGGTCAGGCCTGCGGGGAGGGGCCTACCTCAGGTGCTTCGCGAGCGCGGTGAGAACGTAGAGGAACTCATCGACCAGGTGCAGGGCCAGCAGCTTTGGGGGCTCCCGGGGCCCGGCCGGGCCCGGTGGCCCACCGCCCTGCTCCACGCCTCTGTCCCCCAGGGTGGCCACCCACAGCGTGTGCACCAAGCCGATGATGCTGGAGAGCAGCGGGGTCTCCAGGAACCTGCGACCAGACACAGGATGCGCCCCGTCACGCCCCGCCCTCCACTGGCGTCTGTCGGGAGGTCTGGGGGATCCCCGGCCTGGGTGCTGGCCGGGCGGGCTTGGCAGGCTCCCCCGCACAGTGCCATTCGCTCTCCCCTCACCGCAGCCCCCAAACAGACCCAGACAGAGGGGCCTGCTCAGACCTGACCCTCCTTCCTAACCAGGCGACCCTGGAGGGCCGGCGGGGGCTGCACGCCACCGTCACGCGAGGACCAGCCGGCGGGGCAACCGCCACACACACAGCCTGTCGCCCCACTCCGATGGGCCCCGTCGGAGCTGCCTCCCGGCCTGCGGTGGCACAGAGGACTCTGTGTCTGGCAGCCTGTGCTCTGCTGGGCACCTCCGGAGGGCGCAGAGGCCGGCAGCAGACACCGCTGCCTCTGCCTGCCCCGCCCCGCCCCGCCCCTGCCAGGCGGGCCTCTGGCAAGCGCTCACCGGCTCTCCAGGGTGTGCAGGACCCACGTGAGGAGGCTGTGGTCCCGCAGCAGCTCGTAGGCAGGCTTGGCCTCCCGGGCAGCGTTCTGCAGAATCTCCAGGACCCAGCTCTGCAACCCAGCACAGTGACCGTCAGAGGGGAACCCTGGCTGGGCCATCGAAGGGACAGTGTGCGAACACAAAGGCAGGGGGCGGTCATGGGCGGCGGCCGCCCGGCGAGGTCTGCAGGAGTGACGGCCGGGGACGCAGACCCCCGCGAGCGCCCCGGGCGACGCCCCTCCTGCTGGTCCGCCCGGGAGCCAGGCCGATCGCAGCCGCACAGGCCGGCCGTGCCCAGGCTGGGTTAGGGTTCACGTGGACTGGACTTCGAAGCAGAACCCCGAGGGAGAGCCCAGACTCCCGGGCTGCACGGGACCCTGCGGGGCGAGCCTACCTGCGCCGCCTGGTCACACAGCGGGCTGTGGAAGGAGGACAGGAGCACGTGGAAAACCCCCCGCCGCGCGTAGAGCTCGTAGCAGTGCCGGTCGCGGATCCCCTGCCGCAGGAGCCCGAACAGCCACTTGCGTTCAGTGTTGTGCTGCAACCCAGGCAAACGACAGGCGCCGTCCGGTTCCAGCCCCTCGGCTGACACCAGCCCGGCCACATGGTGGCGAAGGCCGCCGCCCGCAGCCCTGACCTCGGCTCCTGACTGCGCCTGCACACGCCCACCGCCGCCAACCCGGCGGCAGGTCGGGAGTGAGGCGTCGCATCATGGTCGAACACCGAGCTGTGTTAGCTCCGGCAGGCGTTGCGCAAAAGCACAGGCAGCATCTACCCGGTGAGTCGTGAAGGAAACGCAACGAGAACGCGTAGGAGGCGGGGCTCTGAGGGAGGGTGTCCAGGGTTGGAGAAGCTGCCTGAACACGAACCACGTGGGGAGGCGCATCCCCACACGCCAGCCCTTGGACCCTGCACCATGCGCAGCCCCCCGCGCCCACGCCGCTGTGCACGCGCTGCTGCCGGCCCAGCGCTGGGGGGAAGCGCCCGAGCCACAGTGGCTGGGTCGCCAATGCGGGAGGCCGCCGGGACCCGCGGCTTGGGGCGCACCTGGAAATCCGAGCTGTAGAAGAACTGGTAGAAGCCGGGGACTTTGCGCATGTTCAGGTGCTCGTGAGACAGCAGGAACTTGTTGATCTTCAGGTACATGTGGTCCTCTAGGAACGGGGCAGGTGGTCACTCACAGCTGGCGCCGCCAGGACACCCCCGTCTGCGGCAGCCGGGCTGCGCGGGTTTGGGGACCCAATGCAGACCCCCGCGCCCGCAGGGCGCCTCCCACGCACCCGGGCTGTCAGCTCCGGAGCACGCGGCGCAGTGAGAGCGGGGCCCACATGGGTCACAGGCCTGCCCTGGGCTCGGACGCTGCCCCAGCAACACTGCCCCTGTCCGCGGACGCTGCCAGAGTGCCCATCCGCCGCGGGCTCGGGCGGTGCAGGGCCAGCGCCCACGCCGCCGGCCTCACTCTGAGGGACGCCTGGCACAGGCGGCCCGGACACCCCGGTCTCCTGGCTCCGGATGCAGCGGGGCCGACGCCCTCCCTGCCGCTTCCACCCTTGGGCCGCGGCCTCCGGCCTGTCCGGCCGCCTGCAGCCGACCGCAGGGCCGCCGCTCCTGTCAGCACAACGGCTCAGGACCCCCCTTCCTTCAGAGCCTGTGCGTGGCTGGTCACCTCGCCTCCTCTCGGAGTTTGTGCACGAAGCCACGTAATGAAAGCGACGAAGGGGCAGATGGAAATCAGACTCGCGTTCCACCGGCCGTGAGGCTGGAGACGAGGCGCGGCCTGGGCCAGCCCGACCGGACCTGCAGCTGGGGGCCGCCTCCGCGCCGGAGGACGGCGCCGGCGTTCTCCCCGTCCTCCGGTAGGCGCGGCCTCCGTGTGTCTCCCTTCCACTGCAGCGGCCAGGCCGTGGGCCCCCGTGGCCTTGGCGGCCCCGGTGTGGGGACACGCAGGCAGCGCCCCTCCGGCTGAGGGCTAGGGCCACGCCGGCCGACCTCGCCCGCACGGACGCCCGGGTCGGGCCCCGCCCCCGCCCCCGAGGGCCACCACCCGTCGGTGCTGGGCTTTTCACCCGCGTTCCCTGGACTTCGGCCCCCGGGCCCCCAGCGCCCGCTCACAGCCACCGCGGGCTGACCGTCCGCTGCTGTGTCCGGCCCGCGCAGCCCCGGGCGGCCCGCACATCTGATCCCCACGTCCCGCCCCCACCTCAGCCCCATCGCACCGGCGGTACCTGGCTTCAAAATCTGTAGGGCTGCTTTGGCGATGAACAGGGCCAGAGTGAAGGTGAGTCTCATGTTCGGCGTGCGGACCCCGTTCCGGACCACATCCAGCAGGTACAGCACCTGGGGCCAGGACGGGGAGAGCGCCCTCAGAGCTGGGGCCGCGGCCCGTGGGGGCGGGGGGGCTGCTCCTCAGCCAGGGCCGCCTGGAGGGCCCTCCGGACAGCCGCGACCCTGCTCGTCCTCGAGGGGCCAGGCGTGCAGCCGGGGCAGAGGGCGCCCTGGGTCCACCCCCACAGCCGGGCCTGGCCCTGTCCCCATGTCCCGGGTGCCAAGGCTCGGCCGCCTGGGTAAACAGCCGCCCGGCCACTGAGTTTAAGCAAGGAGCCGGCAGAAACAAAACTGCCTCACCCGCCTGCAACACCAGAGCCTGCGGGAGGGGAGGCCTCGCTCAGCTGCCCCCGGGGCCGGGGTCAAAGGCGGCCCCCAGCGTCACCTGCAGGAGGGGACAGAGGCCCCTGCAGACTGGAAGGGGAGCCGGCCCCGCGGCCGCCGCGCACCCTCTGCCCCACCGACCTGGGGCTGCTCCCGGAACCGGGCCCCCTCCACGTGCGAGTAGTAGGCCGCCAGGACGTAGTAGCCCGCAGCACGCATCTGGGGGTCATAGCTGCTGAGGGCCGCGACGGTCAGGCCCAGCGCATTTGAGTCCAGAAATTTTCGACAATCCACCACACATTCTGTGGGAAATAACACACAGCATTAAACACACACACTCACATTCACACGTGATTCCATGATGCTTTTGTGAAGCAGCGAATTAAATTTCCTTTGGCATTTCTCCACCGTCAGCTACAGGTACTAGATCAAAGAAAGGCAAGTCTCCCCCCAGCTCCCAACTCCCGCTGACGTCGGACACAAGGCTAGTGTCCCCTCCACAGCCTGTCGCCGCCCGGCCTTCAGCCTCCAAGACGCTTGTAAATCCTGAGCAGGACCATCACGAGTTCTCAGAGACAGGTGGAGGCCCGTTCAGCCCGAGCACGTGCTGCCGGCTTCCCCTGCGCCCTGGAGGCTGGGGCAACGCTCCCGGGGACTGGTCAGTGCGCGGCCTGGGTCCTGTCCCCGAGCAGCGCGACGCACAGCCCGCCGGCAGCGAGGCTGGGGACCACGCCGCAGAGGCCGGCCAGCCCGTCAGCTCGGGAGGCCTGACCCCCTCTGCGGGCGGGCAGGCGGGCGGCGGGGCTCTCAACGCAGAGCAGCTCCCGGAGCCTGGGCGGGGCTGCAGCGCAAGGGGCCTGTGCTGCCGCCCGAGCGCCGAGGCTCCCCCGCATGGGGCGCACGAGCCAGAGGGGAGGCCGGCACAGCAGGGTGCCCCGCTGCCCGTGTCTTCTGGGGCTTGGCCTGCACTGATAGACTTCAGGACACTTCGAGGCCTCTTCAGCGAAAACCCAGGCCCCTTGCAAGATAACTACTGTCAAGAAGCAGCTCAGAACGGACCGAGGTCGCCGTGGTAAAGTGACCGAGCAGGGAATGGTCAGGACAGCCAGGCGTGAGGTCCTGTTCGGACTGAGTGCCTGGCCACCTCGTTGGACCAGGAGCAGAACACACGCCGGCTGCAATGACCGCTGCAGGCAGGGAGGCTGGGACACACTATCCATAAGAGACACGCCATGGACACTTTTTTTCCCCCTTAAAGTGAAACTCTTTTTTTCTCTTCTCTCCCTAAAGTTAAAATTTAAAACCCAAACCAACCCTCTAGAGATGAAAATTAAATAAAAAATGTCTGAGATGAAAAACACAGTGGATGGGACTGTCAGCAGATCAGACATCACAGAGAGCGAGACCAGCGAACCTGGAGACAGCCGCAGACACGGTCCCAATCGGAGCAGAGAGAGGCAGACACGGTCCCAATCGGAGCAGAGAGAGGCAGACGCGGTCCCAATCGGAACAGAGAGAAAAAAGGGTTGAAACACACAAACAGAACATCGGTGAGCCGTAGGGCCAGTTCAGGCAGGCTCATGAGGTACGTGTAATTGAGGTCCCTGAAAATGTTTGAAGAAATCATGGCCAAAACTTTTCCAAATTTGACAAAAATTACAAACCTACAGAGCCAAAAAACCCAATGAACGCCTAAGCACAAAGAAATTATAGCCATAGTACATCATCATCAGACTGCTAGAAAACAGTGATTAAAAACATCTTAAAAGCACCCGCACGATGTACAGAGGAACGAAGAGAAGAATGACAGTAAGATTACTCGTTAGAAAGAACACACTTCAGAATTAGGGTGGCAGATCTTTCAAGTACAGTAAGGAAAAAACCCTGCCAACCTACAATTTCATACTCCATGACAATCTTCCAAAAGTGGAGCCTTTTTCCATTAAAAAGGGCTGAGAGAACCGATCACCAGCAGACTTGAACTGCCAGAATTTTTAACGGAGGTATTTTAGGTATAAGGAAAATGATGGAAGACGGAACTCTGGATCTACACAAAGGAATAAAAGTGGTTGACTAAGTGGTAAATATAAAACATTTAAACCTCTTTAAAGTATAATCAACGATTTGAAGCAAACACACAACACATCAGGGGCTTCGCAGCAGACACAGGCAGGACGTACGACAAACAGCACAGAAGCCAGGAGGGAGGAAGCGGATCGACGCGGCTGTAGGTGCGCCTGCCGCCCCTGAAGGGTGTGGTTTCACTGGAAGATAAACGGCTGTAAACTGAAGATGAATAGTGTAAATCCTGGAGCAACACACACACCCACTCATCCGCACACACATTGTAGCTAAAAGCCAAAAAAACAACTGTATCTATAACCACATTAAAGGTGCGCGGCACATCCGTTCCAGGGAGAAGCCACAGTTGGTCAGTTAGAGAAACAAAGCAACGCCCAGGGCACCCCTGGTAACGCCACGACGCAGATCAATAGTAAGAGGATGGAAGAGTACACAGAGGACTCCAAGGCTCCAACAGCTTATGCGCTGAATTTTCTCACTTTTAATAACTATCTTTGAAGCTTTAAAAAGCATCTAACTGTGGAATAAAATGGCCGTGTTTGGGGAAAGACGTGTTGAGGGCACACCTGCACACCTATGTCACACACACACGTGAAGGGAGGCTGCGGGGAAGGGAGCGGTCCAAACGTCCGACGGGGCACTCACTGCGGAGAGCCCTCCGCTGCCTAGGACATTTTTGTAACCGCCGACGTTCCCCAGGACCTGTGGACTCGCACGTGCCCGTGAGTTAAGTCCACGACGTTTTGTGTTCGTCCCTGTTACCCTTGGGGCCTTGGCTCCGGGACACTTCAGCAAGGGCCGCCCTTGGGTGCTGAAGACCCAACAGGCCGCTACACAGCAGTCGCCACTGACACGCTTGTCTCGGGGACCTCGCAAAGGGCACCTTGGTCTTCTGGTCACAGAGCTTCAGACCCAAATGGCTCAGCCACGACAACGATCAAGGATTGAAATAAAACTAGCACCCCCGTCCCTGGTCTTCTGGGCCGCCGTGGCAGGGCCCCCACGCGTGCGGCCTGAGCCCTTGGACCCGCCCCAGGGCGGCCCGGCCAGGAGCCTCAGACGCCGCTCCCCGGCCTGCGAGGCGTGGGGACTGGCGTGTTGAAGATCTCAGCCCGCTTCTGCCGAGGACAGGCACTGACTGTGGAAAAAGCGCCCGTCCCAGCCCCTGCCTGCAGCCTCGGCAGACCTCACCCTCTGTCAAGGGCCGAGGGGAGCGGCGCGAAAGCAGGTTCCGTTTTCCGCCACGGGGCGGAAGGGGCTGCGCGACCGTGTTCTCGGTGTGGCAGCCACACCGACTCATCGCTCGCCATTCTGCATTGCAAACGTGGAGCCGCACCTGGACCAGGTGCCGACCGCTGCAGGAGTGAAAGCAAGCTGTGAAAACCCCGGCTGCACGTGGCGTGGGCGAGTCTCGCACACGTGATGAGGGGTGAGTGGGGCTCCAGGACACGTGTCTCCATGGGAGGGGCCTGGGCAGCCGGAGGGTATGCCCTGCTCCTGGATCCAGCTGGTGGCTTTGCCAAAACTCAAGCCGCACACGTGGTATCTATGCAAATTTCTACCTATCACACATCAATAAACACGTATTTAATATGTAGTTCACGCCAACTTCTCCACCAGCACAAAAGCAAAGGAACAACACATTTAAAAAATTCCGTGAGGACAAGACTCTGACTTAACCCCACCAGACACGCACCCCGGCCGACAGGGCCGCCCCGCTGGGTCACCGTCCCTGCTCCCTCTCGGGACGCGCTGGCTCGCGTCCTCTCAATGAATGACGCTTGGTGAGAACATTATGCCTCCAGGTTTTTTTTTTGGTTTTGAATGACAAGTAGCCCAAAGCAAGATCTAATAAATCTGGTTTGTCTTTTTTTAAGAAATTTAGAAATTTCTGTTTCTCCCTCCCCCTCCACATTTTTCAAATCGCCCCCCTCCGCGTGGCGGGCTCGGGCAGGCGCGCTGTGAGCCCCGCGAGCCTCTTCCTGCGCAGGCGTGCCCGCACCCTCCCCAGCTCTGGACCAGCGACCCCGAGAGGGGCTGTTTGGCGACTTCCCTGCTCCACCCAAAAAAGGCAACATGAGAGATTTGGAGAGAAACGCTGGGCCCTGTCGCCACCATTTTCCTACTCGGCGTTTTTCAAGCCCTCGCCCCAGGAGCTCCACAGAGAGGCCGCGCGGCAGGCTGCTGCGCTGAGTCGCCGAGGACACTGCGGTCTGAGACGTGGGGGAGGGGCCAACTGGGCGGCGCGGCCAGGCCACGGGGCACCCACGGGACTCCTTGGCCACACGGGTGGGTCGGGGCCCCTCATCAGTCCGTGCCCACACACGCCCGGGAGACGAGGCGCCGCCTGCCGCGGCCGCACCCTGACACGTGCGAGCACAGTGCCCCCGGGGCAGCAGCCGAGCCACGCGGGGCTCCTGACAGGCGAGCGCTACACACACCCAGCCCCTCGAGTTCGGTCGGGACACACGGGCGAGGGTGGGGGCCCGGCCGTCTCTTCTTAGGTAGGAGACAGGGCCAGGTTGAAGAGGGGAGAAAACAGGACAGTGAGTCCCGGTGGCCTGAGGCACCTACACACACGTCGCTGTGGAGTCCAGTGGGAGGGGCCTGCCCAGTTGGGGAGCAGAGGACACACACGCTTCTGTTCTGTCCCTCCCACCGTCTCGCGCGATGCCCACTAGCAGGCCACCAGACACAGAGGACCTCGGTCACTAAGGATCGGAAAGCGTCAAGGACAAAGGGATGTCATCAGCGTCCTCTGAGGAGGCCACTGTGTATCAGAACCCGACCTGCTCCTCTGCCAGAGCTCACAGAATGGCGGTCGGGATGCAGCGTGAGGTCGCTCAGGGTCACCAACAGCCCCGCGTGGCCGCTGGGCGCACGCAGCACCGCCCGCCCCCGCCCCTGCCCCCGTCCCCTGGGCTGCGAGCACCTGGCCTGGTCAGTTCGCTGAAGAGATGCAGGAGGAAGCAGGGGTCGTAGAGGCTGTCGAGATCCGCTGTGCTCCTGTCCCCAAACAGCGGGTCCTGCGCGTCCTGCAAGAGCCAGGGGCAGAGGTGCGTGGCTCAGCCTCGGTGGACACCAGGCGAACGCTCACCCACGGACCAAGGCCTCACACTGCTTTGAATAATGGGGAACATTAAAACAAGAGGTCTGTGAAAAGCAGTGCTCGTAGGTGAAATGACGTGACCTTGGGGGACAAGCGGCCTGCGGGGGTCCCACCTCTGCCCCTCAGGCAGGGCTGCCGTGAGCCTCACGAACAAGCTGACAGCAGGGCTGGGATGTGTTCCCTGGGGGCTCCGCCCGGGCCCCCCGCACCTCGGGGGGCAGCAGCCTCCGGTTCTGGGGGAAGTGGAGGATGGTCCCCATCATCCGGTCCCGGTCCAGGAGGCGGAGGACGTCCCCGACGCTCGGCTGCTGCCACAGCGACTTGCCCAGGCTCCGGCTCGTCTTGTGGTGCTCCAGGGCCGCCGGGCCCCACAGCAGCGCCCTGGGGCCGGGAGGGGAGAGTAGACGCATCACGGGCCCCGCAGAGCCGGACCGAAGGTGGCGACGGCGGAAAGGGCCGCCGCACGCCAGGCGCTGTCCCGGTCCGTCCCCACTCGCCATCTGAGCTGGGGCAGGAGGCGGGGCGGACGGTGATGCCGACCCGACGGGGGACAGAGGCCGGCAGGGACGATGGCGGGGACGACACCCGGACAGAGCTCTGCCCTGCCAGGCGCTGTTCGGCCCTTTGCAAATGTCAGCTGCTGGATCCGCCCTGGCCCCCACTTCACAGCCTCAGGAGGAGCAGAGAGGAGGGTCACCCGCTGGAGGCCGAGGAGCGGGGGCTCGCGCTCGGCCATGCAAGGGACCCCGGCTGCAGCCGCTGCCCTGTTGACGGAGGCCTCTCCTGGTCGGGCTCCCGCAGGGCGCGCCGGCTGTCCCGCCACCAGAGTCCACCTCCCGCGCCACCAGCCCCACTGCAGCAGCCCCAGGAGGACGCAGGCCCCTGGCCCCTGCTCCCCATTGCCGTGGGGTGCACCCTGAAGGCCCAGCTCTGGGGAGGGCCGCGTCTTGGCCCGAGGGTGTCACGACGCCACTCCTGCACCCAGTGCAACTGGCTCCTCCGCCAGCCGTGCCTCCGTGAGCCCCCCACCCTGCGGTGGGAGCATCCAGAACAGCTGGGCCCCCCCCACCGCGGGGTGCGGGCCAGGGACGCCCGTAGGAGGCGGCACACCCATGACAGCCTGAGCCTGCAGACAGCGAGCTGGCCCGCCCCTCGCGTGTGGACAGGGCCTGCGAATGGCGGACGCCGGACCCATGTCCGCGGCCTGCAGCGCCTCCGAGGGGAAGCTTCCCAGACACGGACGCGCCCTGCGTCAGGGGGAGGGCTCCTCCTCGGGAGGGTGGCCCCGGGCTCAGTCTCCAACAGGCAGACCGCTGCATCCTGGACACGCCACTCGGACAGGCACCACGCGCTGGTTTGACATTCGCCCCTGGCTGTGCCCAGAGGCCCTGCATGGCCCCCTAGCTGCTCGGCGGGTGGCCGTGAGCCCCCAGCCACCACCCCGGCCCCACCCGTCGCACGGGGGCCACCGCCACCTCCCTCCTCTGCCCCTCCCCACGCGACATGCAGGGACGGCGTGGCGCCTGCTCCAAGCCAGCCGGAGGCTGAGGCCGTGAGGGCCGGGGACAGAGAGTGGCCCTTCAGGCCCCAGAGTTCCTCTGAGCGAAGCGTGTTTCCCTCCGCTGTGTATCCGAAGGGAGGAGCAGGCGTCTCGACTAGAACCCTCTTTCTTTCTGAATGAAGCACCCTGCAACGTCGGTCGCTCCTTCTCTTCCCTGCAGAGCTGTGCCCCGCTGTCTCCTTGGCCCGTGAGCTCACTGCCGGTCGCCACACGCGAAGCTCCCCGGCGTGTGGGTCGTGGGCAGGTATTGGGGCGCAGCAGGGAATTGAAGGCGCTTTCTATGAAAAGTGCACTGGTCGGGCCCCCCCCAGCCCCCTCAGAGGCAGGCAGGGCCCGGGGAAAGGCCCGGGGGGTGCTGGCCGTGTGGCCCCCAGGCACCCAGGACAGACGGAGGGACAGACACGCAGAGATGGGGAGGCGAACAGACGCACGCACGCGGGGAGCTGCCAGGAGTCCGCCCTCCTCAGCCCTCGCCCAGTCCCCACGCCCCACGTCACGTGTCTGCCCCACTCCAAGTACACGGCTCCGGGAATACTGCTGCAGTGGGAAGCGGGGGTGCGGGCCGGCCCGCCGCCCCGCCCGCAGGCAGCCCGGAGCAGCCAAGGGAACTGCACCCACCCCCGGCCCGAGGACCCGACCAGACGGAGGGAATCCTGGGTGGGGGGTGCGAGGGAACCCGCCAGGCCCGCCCCGGCCCCACACGCACCTGAAGTTGGCCAGGCTGAGGCCGTTCTGCTCATACGCCCGCAGGAGAAGTAAAATCTTCTGGTCTGGAAGTCAGACGCAGGTAGAGTTAGAGAGCTGAAGGCTCACGCACCCCTCCCCCCGCCGCATCACACAGCCCGGCCCCCACACACTCCCAGCCCTCACCCAGGACGCTGAGAGAGGCACCATAGGCCCCGAGGAGCACCGCAAAGTGGCTGCTGTCACAGACAGACGGGCACATCCTCACCAGCCCCAACAGCAGGTCCACCAGCGCCTCTGGGAGAGAACAGCAGTGAGTGTACAGCTGCGGGGGGGCACGTCAGGGAGAAATGGGGGGGATGCATTTCAGGGAACACTGAGAGCTTCTAACGGCCATCTCTGAGCAATTCAGGGATTAGGATTCGGCCTAGGCTCTCCTCCACTTTTTCTTTTTCTTTTTTTTTAAAGTAAACATGCTTTCAGCTCTGGCTGGTGCGGCTCAGTGGAAGGAGCATCAACCTGCAAACCAAAGGGTCACTGGTCCGATTCCCAGACAGGGCACAGGCCTGGGTTGTGGGCCAGCAGGGGGCGTGAGAGAGGCAACCACACTTGGATGTTTCTCTTCCTCCCTTCCTTTCTCTCTAAAAATAAATAAAATATAAAAAAAGTAAACGTCTTCATGGTCATCTCTCCACCTTGGTGTCCACATGGCTTCGCTCGGTCCCACTGCTCCTCCAAGTTTTAAGCCGCCGGACACTTTAAAACCTAACCCTCTCCCACGACGGGGCCACCGGAGTCCGCCGTCGCTCCGCCCCGCTGGTGGCTGTGCCGCTCCTCCGCTCTCTGCAGCAAGAGCCGTGGTTCTCCCCATCCAGCCGTCATCAGGGACTGGCCTCAAGCCGAGTCCTCAGGGCGGGGGGCGCTCACGCGGTCCCTAGGCAGGGCGCGGGCCCTTCAGACCTCCCCCGGCCCCCACCGCTGTCTCGGCAGCCGGGCTGCTCTTGGGCTCAAGGGCACTGTGGTCGGCGCGTCCTGGCCCGGGGATGGGGCTGGAGCCTGGGCTCTCTGGAGTCCCCTGGCGGGGACCTGTCCGCAGAAAAATTCGACTCTTTGTCCTTGACAAAAGTTTCAATCTTCCCACTGAGACAGTTCACGCAACCCAACAATTTCTCTTGAGACAGACTCGCCTCTAATTGCCAGATTTTAACACGCGCCCACGACGCGGCCGGGAGGCCAGAACGCAGCTTCGCTGGGCCAGGGCGGGCTTGGCAGAGAGCCCTGCCTTTGCGCTGGACCCCACGTCACAGCACAGGCCGCCTGAGCTTGGGTGGGACAGACACGCAACATTCCGCGCCCTCCCAGTCACGCCCCCGAGCGGGGCAAACCCGTGGGCGCTGAGGTTTGGTGCCCGGTGCGCTCAGCAATCAGGAAAGGACACCCGCACGGAAGCGGGGCGGGGGGGGCGGGCCCACCTTTCACTCGGCTGTGGTGGTCGTCCTCCTGCTCGGACGTCAGCAGGGCGGGCAGGAACAGGGAGTGCTGGGTGAGCAGCGCGTGCAGCGCTGGCGGCGGGAGCGGCCTGGCGCGCCCGGGGCCTTCCGGGAGGTACAGGAGCGGCAGGGCGGCGCAGAGCGCCCGCAGGAACGCGGGGTCCTGGTACCGAAACCTGCGGGCCGGGGGGCCGCAGGCAACAGCGTCATAAAGGGGACTTTTATGTCCCGGGGAACAGTAAACACACGTTTTCTTGGCATTTTATTAAGAAAATTTTCCACCTGTGTTTTCATAAGTTGGGGATAATTTGTTTTACAGCAACCAAATTTACTGCATTGAAATGGTTTTTATGTGATAGAAATCATACGAGATAGTGAAGGATTTAAAGTATGTACACGATGTATAAAAATGTATAAATTTCAGAAAGAAATGAATCCAACAAATTTCAATCAGGAAAAAAGAAAAAAGAAAAAGCGAACCTCCCAGCGGAGCCCAGCGTGGGGAGGCTCCCAGTCCCGGCTGCAGGGCACGCGCTGCCTCCCCGGCCGCCCCGCCCCCCGCAGGGGCGCAGCGCACCTGTCCCCTCGACGGCGCGAACGCCAGGCGGACCTGCTGCCCGGGTGAGATGCCAGGCTGCAGGGTCGTCGCTGCCCCACCCGCCCAGGTAGCCTCCCGGCCTCGGCGACTCCACGCCCCCACCCAGGGCTCGGGGCCTCCAGCAACTCAATCCCTTCAGAACCCGCCGAAGGGACGCACGCGTCCTGCGCTGGAAGAAGAGACTTCCGTCGTGTGGGAACAATGTTGAGAGTCACACAGCCACAGTGGGCGTTTTGGAGACACAAATTAACCAGAAGCGGAAAGAATCGCCGCCCCGCACGGGGGCCTTCTAGCTGTCACTAGCGTGCGGCCCGCCTCCGCGGTTTCTCTCACTTGGACACGGTTCTTTGCCGTTTCCAGTTGAGTGACCAGCGCAGTGAGCACTACAGGCGCCACGGGCCACTGCTTCCCGACCACCCAATGGCCAAACGTGGGAGCCTGACTGTATCAAGTGCAGGGAGGACACGGGGGACCCTGAGCCCCCGCGCAGGGTCCGGTCAGCCCGGCCGCCGTGGAGAACGGGTGGGAACTGTGGCGGAACTGAAGCTGTGCCCACACCAACAGCTGGCAAGCGCCCCGCCCTGAGAAACTCTGGCACGGGGGCCCCAAGAGACACGCAGCAGCCACCACTGGGGTGGCAGGGCGGTGGGGGGAGAGCGTGCCCCGCGGGCAGGGGTCTCAGCGAGGAGGAAGCGCCGAGAGCTACAGGCTCCCACCTGGGTGGCTCAGAGACACCTGAGCGCAAAAGGGTGCAGCAGGAACCATCCATTTGTATACAGTGGTACTTACTCAGGTAGAGACACACTGACACACCATCAAGCATGACAACACGCATGGCCGTGACGAAGCCCCCCCTCAGGAGGGTGGCGCTGTCGGGCAACGGCGGGAAGACAGCAAATCGGGGCAAGGACGGCACATCGCCAGCATCCCTGCAGCACGCGTGCACCCGGGCGCCTCGGCACACCGCCGCTGGGCTTCCCAACCGCGTCCCACTCCGGAGGCTGCGTGCCACGCCCGTGACAGGCCTTCACCCCGCCCCCCGCCGCCGTGTCCGCCCCTCGCGTCCCCGAGGCCGCGCGAGCGCGCCCAGGGGACAACGGTGACTCACCTGAGCCCGGCCTTCACCAGCTCCTGCCAGTCTGCAGGGTCCACTTCGCGGAGTGAGCTCTGCGCACGGAGTGAGAGAGAGACACCCGTGAGGCCTCTCCGCTCAGGAAGCAGGGCTGCTCTGGGGGCGGGGACCTGCACCTGCGGCCCCCGGGCCGCACACAAGCAGCTCTGATGCTTTGTTAGCACACGTCTCCCCCCGAACGAGCAAAGGGAACTTCCGGGTCGCCCTGTGTCCCCCTTTGGCTTCCATCTCGGCCAGCACCGACTGGTTCACAGCCACACGCGGCCGTTTACGTGTCCGACAACTCAACCCGGGCAAGACCAGCAGGCTCATCCCAGGGAAGCAAGGCCACTGTAACACTCGAAGACCAATGCCTGTAACTTCCTTTATCAACAGGCTAAGCAGAAAGGAAACCCAGTGCGGGTCACGGCCACTGATGGGGAGACCATCTCCAGATGTGCTGCCGCGTCAAGTCAGAGGGGCTGCCCTGGCGGGGGGGGGGGGCACGCGCCACATTGCAGGGAGCATTCTGGGAGGGCAGGGGTCCCGGGCGGGAGCATGGTCACCGGGGCACGCGTATCTGTCAGCCCTGAACTAGGTACTAAAGAGCTACAGTCCACAACAGGAAAACACGTGCTGTCCGGAAAAAGCCCAGCTCTTGTTAACAGAATGAGAACGGTTTGTGTGACGTCGACGTGACGTGGCAGCCAAGGCGACTGGACTGGAACGCGCATGCGTGAACAATGACGCCTTCACCGTACCGGTCGGTTGGGGTGGTAGCACCGTTGAGTGAGCATGTGCACTGTGTGTCCGTTGAATTTAAAGTGACTGAGCAAGCAGAGCAACGAATCTGCACCAAATTTTGCGTTAAGCTTGAACGTTCCTCTGTAGAAACTATTCGGATGAGGCCACAGCCATGGGCACCTGGTGATTGGCAGCTTCATCGCGACAACGCACTGGCTCACGCATCACGTCTCGCGCAAAGTTTTGTGGCAAAACATCATCAAATCGCCCAGGTGACTCAGGCCCCCTACAGCCCAGATATGGTGCCTGAGACTTCTGGGTTTTCCCAAACTAAAATCACCTTTCAAAGGGAAGAGAGACAGACTTCAGACCATCGTTGAGATTCAGGAAAATATGACAGGGCATCTGATGGCGACTGGGAGACCCGTGTGAGGACCCAAGGTGCCTGCTTTGAAGGGGACGGAGGCGTCCTTGTTCTACGTACAGTGTTTCTTGTACATTGTATCTTCTCCAACAAGTGTCCCTATTTTCCCATGACATGGCGGACACCTCCTGGACAGGCCTCGTGCTTCACTTCTGAGAAAAGGGGTGAGGCGGGTGCTGGCCTTGGCGGGGGGCAGGGTACCTGGGAACTCTGCACTTCCCACTGAGTTTTACTGTGAACCTACAACTGCCCTGGGGGAGAAAGGCCCGTTAGGAGGGGGAGCGGAGAGAGCACTTGGAGTGGCGGGGGGCGTGCCTCGAGGACACAGATCCCTAGAAGAGCACAGCTTGTCACTCGGTCACTGAGCCGGTCGCCCGGGGCTGACGACAGAGCCTGGCCGGGTGTTCCCCGTGGCGGCGGTGGCAGCCCGCCTGTGCCTCTGCCGCTCAGTTCTCCCCAGACTCGCGGACGCGCCTCCTGTCCCCTGCGGTCGCCACGTTGGGGTGCCTGGGAGCCAGCCTCGCAGTCACCCCCACAACAACGAATCGGGGCCGCAACACAGGCTGTCGGGCTGTTACGGGAACGCACAGGCGCACGGCTTGGTCTGCACCCTGTGAACGCGTTTGCCGCTCAGCCTCCGCTCCCAGTCACCTCCTGAGGATGGCTTTTCGTGTCTCGGGTTTCAGAGTTCAAACACAAGCCACAGAGCCTACGACTTTTCACAGGATTTCACACTGCGCACTGAGCAGTCACTCGTATGTCAGCTTTCAGGACGCTAACAGTTTCTATGCAGAGATACAACTTTAAAGACAAGACACTTCCGGAGAAGGGCACAATGGCCAAAAATAGCTGAATATTTCCAAATTCCGTGGAAACTCTCGACTCACAGAGACAAGCTGCTCACTGAACACAAAGCACAGGAAACAAGAAGGAAACTACAATGAGGCACATTGTAGTCACATTGCTTTAACCAATGTAAAAAAAAAAAACCCTAAAAGCAGCTGGAGAGAAAGGGCACGACGTACCGGGGAAGGGCGCTAAGGAGGACGGGTCTCTTCTCAGAAGCAACGCGCGCGGGATGCGGCGGAGCGCACCTTTACATCGCCGGCAGAGCACAGGGGACCCAGCCCCGCAGGCCCAGCGCGACCCCGACGGCCGGGTGCACGGCCGGGTGCACGGCCGGGGGTTAGGGTTGGAACAGCCCCTCGCGTGCCCAGATACAGAAGCTCTTCATGAAATGCTGACGCATCGAATACAACGCTACTGGAAAACAGGGACGCCCCCCGAACGAGCAGGCTTATCCCAGGAACTCAAGGCCAATCGACATAATTCACTTCATCAGCAGACTGAGGCCAGCCGGAGAAACCAGACCGCCGCCTCAGCAGACACGACGAGGCGCCTCACGAAGCCCCACGCCCGTTCCCGCCTGCCCCGGGCCTCCCAGGCACGGTCCCCGCAGGCCGTGCCAGCCGTGCGCGGCCCCCGGCTTAGGAGGCCCCGTGCGCTGTGGTCCAGCTTTCTCTGCCCCTTGAAGAGGTGACCCGGACTCAGAGGAAAGGTGCGGTGCCTACCAGCAGCTGGGTCAGCCTCAGCAGCATGGGCTCCTCGCGGCCCCGGGCGCCGTCTCCGTCCAGCTGAGGGCCCCCGAAGGACCTGAGCAGCCACTGCACACAGGCCTGCAGCAGGGTCTCCTGCCAGGCTCGCAGCTCTTCTGCCGACCCCTCCAGGGCCGCCGAGACGGAGTCGGCCACGATCCAGCTGCTGCAGAAGGCAAGGTCTCCGAGTAAGAGGAGGCGGCCTGAACCCGTCTAGCTTCAAGCAGAGTCCCAAGTGACAACCGTGACAATGGGCCACAGGCCCTGAGTCCCACCCCTATGCCACCGGAGCCGAGAATCACAGGCTGCCCCTGCCCCTACGCAAATGTCCTGGTGGGATCAGGCTTTCTGCCACTAGGGGGAGCAGGGGGAGCACACCAAGAAAAGGATCAACGCACCGACTCCTCTGAAGTGGGCAGGCGGTCTCTACATCAGCAGCGCTCAGACTGCGAGCCCGGCAATTCTTTCTCGCAGGCGGAGGGCGGGGTCGCAGGGGCTGCCCCTGCGTTCTCGGGTCTCCCGCAGCACCCCTGGCTCCCACCCTCCCGGTGCCAGGAGCAACACCCCCCCACCGCGTCATCTTAAAAGATGTCAGACACTGCCCCGGGCACCAGCCGGCCGTTGGGGCGGGGGGGCCTCCCGGGCCAACGTGGCAGCAGCGCGGCAGCCCACCGCCCGTTCGCCAGCACGACGGGAAAGCGCAGCCGGGGGCGGCCGCCAAACGCCGGGGCCCGCGTACCTCTCGTGGCCGCCTGGGGTCTGCAGCAGACTGGGCAAGCGCTCCCTGAGCGCGCGGAGGTCCTTGGCTCTCGCGAACGGCACCAGCTGGGCCAGGACCTCGGGGAGCAGCTCTGGCCCCCGGGGCCCATCCGCGCAGAAGAGCCTGGCCTGCAGCCGCCGCCACAGGGCCTTCCTCAGGACGGCGGCGGTGGCGGCGGACACTGCGGGACACAGGAGAAGCAGCTGTCACCGACAAGGGCAGGCCTGGCCAGCACATACCAGCTCACGGGGCCCACAGTTATGTTCTGGGAACCGCGCCACTGGGTGATGTCACTCGTGGCTTGAAACTGGCCGTGGCAGGAGCAGTGACTGTGGAGACCAGAGACGCTGCACATCAGCTGCCCCCAGGAGCCGGCTGTAAGCGCTTAGCAACACAGCATCCTCAACCTCTGACGGGCTCTTCAGCCCAGTGGCCCTGGGGACCCCCAGCCCGACGCCCACAGCCAGTGCGCACGCGCGTCCCTCCCTCGCTCAGCTCGCTCTGCAGGGCCTGGGGACGGGGCCACAGGACAGGGCAGGAGAGCCACTGCCCGGATGGCCCCTCCTCGGGGCCCATGTCTTCAGAGCACCTGTGGTCACCAACGCACAGCCACTCAAAACCGGCGGAGCAGTGGGCAGAAACTACCCACTTGCACAACCGGGAGGATTTAAATTTGAGGAGAAGAAAAAGTACATCAGATCGGAAGCCCAAGCAGGTGACAGAGAGCTGGGCCCAAAATGCCCTGGTCCAGCACTGTTACCTGCTCTCAGCGGTGGGGACGGTGGGATAGGCCCAGGACAGTTGCCCCGAATTCCTCCACAGCTTCACAAGGCCCCGCCCGGTGCTGGTCCCCCTGTGTGGTGCCAGCTACTGCCCCCCACCCCCGGCTGCACGTGGAAACGCGGTCGATGGGAGCGTACGAGGGGGAGGGCAACACCTCAAGCTGTGAGGGCCAGGCTGCGGGGGCGGGGGCGCCGAGGGAGCCTTTCTCATCTCTCCCCATCCCCAGAAAGGAAACCACACCACCCGCAGGACACGCAGCCGCAGGGCGGGCACGCTGGGGCCTTCAAACCGCCCCCTGCCCCCAGCCGCCGCCGCCCCTTCCCTACCTGCGGCGGGGCGCGCGCAGCGTCCCTGAGGCCGGCACCGCAGGTACGCGTGCACGACCGGGAGGAGGTCCTCGAGGCCCTTGCGCAGGCGGAGCCCCGCGCCCGGGCGCCCGCACCACAGCTCGAACCGCAGCAGGTGGGTCCAGCTCTGCTGCACGAGCAGGGCACCCATGGCCGGGGCTGCTGGCGAGCGCCGGGCCAGGCAGTAGTCCAGCAGGCCGGCCCCGGCCGCGGGGGCCAGCTCGGGCGCGCTCCGCAGGGCGTGCAGCATCGCGGCGTCCAGCTCGTCCGCAGCCAGCGCAGGGAGCAAGGCCCCCACGCCTCTCACGTACTCGGAGGCCCAGAGGAGCTCGCTGCGCGGCAGCTGACCCTCGGGCCTGCTGGTCAGCAGCTGGACCAGGGTCCTGCCGAGGGCGTTCAGGCGTCTCTCCTTCCCAGGGGGCGTCGTGGGTTGCTGGGCCAGCAGGTGGGCTGCGGGCAGGCTCAGCAGGGCCCGCGTGACCTCGCGGATCTGGGCGCCCTCCATGTACGCGTGCAGCCCCTGCAGGGCCTCGAGCTGCGGGAGCGCCCCGGGGGGCGCTGGGGCGGGGCCCGCCTTCCTGCTCCGCAGCGCCCTCAGCACGGCCTGGGCGACGGCCTCCGAGTACCTGGCCAGGAGGCCCAGCCGGCCGAGGCGCTGCAGGGCCGGGGCGCTGGCCACCAGCAGCGGCAGGACGCCCGCGCTGAGGTGGGCCGCCAGGAGCTTCGCCAGGACGGGGCTGAGGCCGTGCGGCGGCAGGGCCTGCCGCTCCAGGGCCAGGAACCAGCCCTCCAGCGTGGGGTGTCCGAGGACGGCCACGAGCACCTCCTCCAGCGTCTGAAAGAGACGGACACGGCACGGGCCTCGCAGGTGGCCTGGGCCCGCAGGGCAGGGCCGAGGCCGCTGCATGGTCCCCGGGGCGCTGAGCAGGGCGGGCGCCCTGCCATCCTGGAGCCAAGTCCTGAAGCCCCTCTCCGGGGCCACAGTGCCACCACCCGGACCAGGCAAAGCTGTGATTCCGGGCTCAACCGTGGGAGCTGGACCATGGCCGGGCCTGTCCCACCCAGACTGGCAGGTACCTGACTGCTTCAGGCTGGGTGAGGTCGCTGCACAGCAAACCTGCTCCCCAGTCCCCGGTGCAGGGACGGGCCACACAGACACTGAGTGACGACGGCCGGTCACGGACCCCCCGCCCCCTGCAGAAACCAGGACACAGCTCTGCGAGGCCCCGCGGGTGGGGGAGGCGCGCCGGTTCCAGGCCCGCGGTGGCGGAAGCTGTCTCCCCGCCGCAGCCCCGAGCTGCCGCCACTGAGCAGAAGCAGTGGAGCGCCCCGCTAAACACATTCCCCAGAGCCCCAAGTCACACTGGTCCTGGGGCAAGAACGCAGTTTTCTTCTCTTTTACTGGGGAGGCAAAGGGGAAGGAGGGGGACCCGTCTCGCTTTGCAGCCGAGAAGAGCCAAGCGTGCCCTGCGCGAGGGCCACTCTGCCCGCCAGCCAACAGGAGGCCCTGCACCGACAGACACCCCTGGGCGTCCGCTTGGAGGACGAAGGAAGGGACCTACACGACCCTGAGGTGAGGAACCCGGGAAAAGAGGCCCAGCCGCAACCGACGCGGCCACCGCGCTGGCCCCCGAGCCGCCGCCCTGCACAGCTGCCGGCAGAAGCGCGGGCGCCCTCCCCAAGCAGGACGCTTACGGGGGTTGCCACCGCCCGGCCTGCCCTCCAGGCTGCAGGGGGTTCAGAGGGAAGCGTGCTGGTTGGTTTTCTTGGGGCGCCCACAGGGTCGGGAAACTGCTTGCAGAGAAGCGGGGGGAGACAGCGAGCACAGAGGTGACCGGGAAGATGACGCGGAGTCGTCCCCGGGCTCGCCTAAGGCAGAGGGCTCAGGGTGGCTTCAGTGCCTCCTCCAGGTCCCGCAAGGGACACGGCCTGGCTTTCAACCAGGAGGGAGGGACGGCAGGCGCCCGAGGCTTCCGAGGGAAGGGCCGGCAGGCAGGAGACCACATACCTTGTCGCCGGCCAGCTCCAGCGAGGCAGCGGACTCCACGTCCAGGAAGAGGTCGGACTCGGCCTGCGTGGCCTCGCACTTCCGCCGGTTCTGGGCGTCCAGCTGCTCGCAGTGCAGGACCAAGCGCCGGAGCAGGTCCAGCAGCAGCTGCAGCACAGAGGGCCCCGCGTTGCGGCCCAGCTGTGGATGAGAGCCACACGGCCCCTCAGAACGGACGGTCGGTGCCGGGCCCCCGGCCAGGAGGCGCCACCGAGCAGGATCAAGGCTGCAATGAGGCTGCCCAAAGCCGCTTCCCAGGGCGGCGCGGTCCTGCACCCCGACCCGCCTGTGGCCTGCCCCAAGCCCCTGCGAGCCACACCAGCCACGGGAGGCTCGCCGAGAAGCCGCCGGACAGAGAGGTGACAGGAGGGCCCTGCCCAACCCACAGCTGCCCCGCGACAAGGCTCGGCCACAAGGGCTCCCCGCCGGGCCGGCGAGGGAGGCCCAGGGAACGGCGTACGCCCTGTGCCCATGCAGCCTGTGTGGACCGGGCAGGGTGCAGCCCCAGGACCCTGACCGACGCGTCAGCGGGTGTGGCCCACCGGACAGGGCGGCTCACCTGCCTGAAGCGCTCCACAGTGCTCCGCAGGTACAGCAGCACATGGGTCGCCGAGCGCAGGATGTGGGGCAGCGGGAGGCGAGAGATGGCGGCCTGCAGATCTGCCCGTGCCACCTCATCCAGCAGCCCGCCCTCGCTCTGGAAGGCCGTCTGCAGCAGGGCGCCGAAGGAGCTGGCCGAGGGGCCCCGGGGGGCCAGGCCGCCCAGTACCTGCAGCGGCTGGGGAAAGAGGAAAGGCAAGGCACCCCGGATGAAGCGCGTGCATGGCTAGGGAACCCACTGGACACGCTGGCCGCTGGGCGGTGCTCTGACCTGCCCCGGCCCGGCTAGAGCGGAGGCTGCGCGAGGCTCCGAGGCTCCTCAGGGGGGCGGGCTCTCGTCCTCCGAGTGCTCGGCCGCGCGTGCCGCCCGCACTGCCCACAGGCCTCCCGGTGGGCTGGCGAAGCGCGTGGGCTGCACACTGGACACAGAACATGGCGCCCTCTCCTCTCCCAGGGTCGGCAGGACAGAGGCCTGCAGGGGCCGCCCAGGCCCGTCTGGCAGCTGAGCCCCATGGCCCCAGGGGCACGCTGGGGGGCCGGAGCGCGCGGACGGCTCAGCGAGGAAAAGAGAAACGCAGCTCCGCCCCGCATCCGGAGTCAGCAGCCAGCGCCACAGCGGCCTGCGTCCGGGGCCGTCAGCTGAGCAGCGGAGCACCACCCAGCTTCCCGGCGCAGGGAGACGGGACGAGGCGATGCCACGCCCGAGCAACACGGCCACGGCCCCGCGGCCGCCACACTCACCGAGGCCTCGCGGGCAGGCTCCGGGATCCAGAGGCTGTAGTACCTGCGGAAGCAGGACAGCTGTGGGCAGCAGGGTGGGGCCGGAGCTTCGAACGTGTCATAAGCCTGAAGCAGGAGGCACAGGGCCAGAGGGTCCCTCTGGCTGTGCAGGAGGTCTGTGAGCACGGCTGTCAGATACGCCACGACGCTGTCCCCTGCGAAGGTGCGAGACGAGTCTGGGAGGGCTCACGGGGCCGCCTTCCGCGATCCGTCGCCACACCAGCTCCAGGACTGAGACCCGGGCAATTCACGCCAGCTCCCCAGAGGTGCCACAGCCCACTGGTGGGCCAATGCCACCGCCGTGGGCCTCATGAGGCTCCGCGTGGCTGCAGAGGCTCCAGGCCCCGCGGCCCAGAGTGCAGGCCCAGGTGCGGAATAGGTGGGGCCGCCAGGCCGCCTCCCCGGCGGCCCCGCTGAGACCACGTGATGGGACCCCCCCAGGCCCGGCCACAGCGGCCCTGCTGGCTGCACGCTCTCGTCCCCTGCAGCACGGCCCTGAACCCCTTGCTGGAGGGCAGCCGCCCAGGGCCACGGGACCTGCCGGGGACAGTCACAGGTCAAGAAAGAGACCGTGACTCCCTAAACCACTGACATACCAGGGTTCAGCTGCGACTACAGCAGAGCCTGGGCCTCCTAACGAATTACATGTTGGGCTCTGGGGCACCTCCTGGCCCCGCAAATGTGAAGGACGCAGGCCGACCCCGGAAGGGCCCGCAGGTGCCTGTGCAGCAGACACGCCGCTTCAGCTCACCACCCCATGGCCCACGACCCCGCAGTGGGGCTGGCCCTCCCCCGCGCCCCCTGAGCTCCGCCCGGTGGCTCTCACTGAGGTGGGCCGTCAGCAGTGATTCCCAGAGCCCTGATGCGCCGTCTCCCCCCACCACGCAGCCATGACACCCTGTCCGCCGTGGGTACCTGCGTCACTCTCCGCCCCGAGCAGCAGCTTGTTCCTGGCCTCCAGGGCGGCGGGGACCACGGCGCTGAACGGGAACGTGAGCAGGGCCACGTCTCCACTCAGCGGAAGCCCGATCTCCTCGCCCAGGCCCTCGCTGCCCTCCACCAGCACGTCCACCGTGTCCAGCACGTCTGAGCCGGCGTCGCCCGAGCAGGAGCCCCCAGAGGGAAGACAAGAAAACAGGCAGAGAGGTGAGCGCTGAACTTCTCTCGGGGGAAGACGCAGGACAGGAGGCGTGAGGTCTGACTCCAAACGGAGAGGATGTTCCCTGGAGACCCTCAGGCCCTGCCAGGAGCTCCAGCTCGGGCAGGACCTGACATTTGCTCCGACGACAGTGAGAAGCCCAGAAGTGCCCCGGAGGTTCAGGCAAACCAGCTCAAGCGGAGGTGCGCAGAGGGGCGGCCACGGCACGGAGGGGCCGCTCCGCCGGGACTCGGGCCGAGCCGGCCACGGACGGCAGGGTGAGGCTGGCGGGGCGCCTTGCCTGGGGGCCCAGCGGCCTTGTCGACGCCCAGCGACGACAGCGACGGCACCCCTGGGGCTCTGGTCAGGAGGGGGCGCCCTAGGACTTGTGCTGTCGGCACCTGGCACAAGCAAACAGCACGCGAACCCAGAGGACGCAGCGCGCAAGCTCTGCACGTGTTTCCGTTGCAGGAGCAGCTTGGGCAGCTTCACTTGAGTGGCAGGCTGGCCTCTGGCTCCACGGAAGAGGGCGCCAGCACTCCGTGAGACCTGGAGGGCAACGCCCACTCGGCCTCTCATCTGCCTCTGCAGCTGACCCCGGAGCCCGGCGACGGGACAGGCAGGGGCGCCTACCGTCGATGTGGGAGACCGGGATGCTGACGTCGTCGGCGTCCTGCCTGGCGGCGGGGGCCTGCAGTGTGCTGGCCTCTTGGACGAAGTCGGAGGCTCTGTCTGTGTACGAGTAGGGATTCGCCACCAGCGTCAGCAAGACCTGGGCGTCAAAGAGCCGGGTGGGAGACAGTTGGTCACGGGTGAAATAGAAAAAACGTCCCAAAATAGCACGGGTGAAATGAAGGGGAAGACAGATGTTAACAGGCTTTATTAAGATCAGCGCCATTTTTTCTGTGAAGTTTTAACGACTTCTCGTCATAGAACGTGATGAACTACCTCCTCTGAGCACACGCAGCAGTTTCCAGCGTCACTTAGGACGCCACCGCTCTGCGCAGAGACAGCCCCTAAAGGACGCGCGGCAGCACGTCCCTGTCCCACAGGCTTTGGTGCGCAGGCAGGCAAGGCCCGCCTGAGCCAGCAGAGGCCCCGGGAGCCCCCGTGCGCGCCCTCCCCGGGGACCACGTGCTCACGCGCTCCAGGAACTGAACCACGGCCTCCTGCCCGTCGCCCCCCGAGTCCTCCAGGTGCTCCAGCCACAGCTCCAGCTCCTTCCAGGTGTGCTCGAACACGCCCGTGTCTCGCAGGACCTGTGTGGGCAGAGGCAGGCCAGGTCGGCCGGGCCGCTCCGGCGGGGCCCCGTCTCGCTCCGCACGCTCTTCTCTCCCACTGCCACTGACCCCTGCAGGGCCGCAGGGGCACCCCCTGTGGAGGGGCCCGGCCCTCGGCCGGCTCCTCTCCTTCCTCTCCCAGAAGGAGCAGACGGAGCCCAGCTGCTACGCAGGAGCCCCGTTTTCCACCCGACACTCCCTGAGCCCCAGGTGCACGTGCGTGGTTCAGCCCACACAGCCGCTCCACCCTCAGCCCGTCTGAGGCTCTCGGGGGCCGTGGCCCAGCCACGTTGTGGCCTCGCGGGGCGGCCCCTCGAGACTCAGGGCTGGGGCGAGGAGCACCCACCACTTCCAAGGGAGCGGGACTGCTTGCGAGGCAGGCCTTGAACCTATGGGGGTCGGCCAGTGCCACCCCCGCAAGGCCCGACGCCAGAGACTCAGGTCGCGGGTGCCCCTGGCACGAGTCCACCGCACGGTGCCCCCGCGGCACACGGGACCGTGCTGGCCCCATGCGTTTGCCCTCGGTGGGGGGACCATGACCCTGGCCGGGGTCAAGGTCGCACCCGCACCCCAGGAAGGAAATGGGAACGTACAGAACTCAAGGCCCAGACATGCACGTCCTTCATGCAGCTCAGGGGAAGGCAAAGGGCAGCAGGATCATCCGCTGCTCAGAGGCAGGGAAAACCCCTGCGCCCTAAAAACGGCCAGCAGGGCTTCTCAGCGCCCCAAGTGCTCGCTGCCGAGCAGGGAGGAGGCACCGACGTCGGCTGCCACAGCAGGACCCAACGGGCCTCGGGAACAAGCCAGGCGCACAGGGCGCGCCGAGTCGGCCTTCCCGCGCTCCTGACAACACCTGCACTGCGGGGCACGGGGCCAGAGGGCCAAGGAGTCAGGATGCGGGAAAACGCGACACCAGGGAACGGGCCCCAGAGGCCAGGGATCTGTAGGCCCTGAGCCCAGGAAGGGCGCGGTGCGGCTGCAGCACCACCACACGGCCCCGCGCCCCGCTCCCATGCTTGTGGCGCCGGCCCGCGGCGGGAGAACACACTCAACGAGGACCCGCGACCTGTGCGGCGCCGCTGGGACACGCGGGCTCAGGACTGAGTCCGGGAGCAGACTCCAGCTCACACTGTCCCCATGCCACGCTGCCGCTCAGGCACGCGGCCACGACAGGGACACAACCAACCGACACTGCGCTAGGAGCCTGCATTTTCCGAGCGTAGCAGCCCTGAGACGTCCTCGCTGCAGCCCCCCGCGGAGCCCTGCCCCCAGGGCTGGCCGGCCCTCCCCCCCCCGCAGCAGCAGGCGCGGGAGGGCACGCACCTTGATGATGAGAAGCTTGGTGAGAGACTTGAGCTGCGGGTGGGTGCTGGTCACGAACATCTTCATCAGCAAGTAGAACACGGACCGCTCCCCTCCGATGATCTCCACCTCCGGGCCCTCCTGGGGTCGAGCAGAATGCAGCCACTGGACGCCGGCCGTCCGCCTCCCGGCCCCTCCACAGGCTGCGGGGGGCCGTGTGTATGACGAACTCAGAGGCCGGCGAGCCCCGCCCCCCCCACGGCAGGGCAGAGACGACAGGGAGGTGACAGGGCGCGCGGAACCCCCTCATGGGCTGGCGCCACCCTGAGCTCGTGACATACGCTGCCTCAGCTGACTCCCTCACCCCCCGAGGCAGGGAGACTGCGACCCCCGTTGCCACGTGCACGCTGAGGCACGGGGGTGGGGGGGGGTGGGCGGGCGGCGGTGGTCATTGTTCCGGGGCTGAGCTGGGGTCACGGCCGGGGCTGGCGGCCTGTCCCGGGCTGCGTGCGCAGGGGCTGAGGTGGGGCTCGCGGAGAGGACTCCACGTGTGTCACGGGCCCCTCACAGAGGGTTTTGGGCTCGGAACACGTGTCAAGGGAGTGCAGAGCCCCAGCTTCCGGGCCCGAACCCTTCGGGGTCGGGGTTGCTGGAGCGAGCCTGCAGCCCTGGAACAAGGGCGGCCCTGAACCCAGGGGGCATGGGGGCCCCGCGGCCCAGAGACGCACCTCATGAGCAGAGGGTGGGGCACGGGATAGGCGTTGATACTTTAACCCCAGCTCTTTCAAAGCCAGAGGCCTCCCACTCCCTTCCTCACTGAGCCACCAGCGCCTGTGGCCTGTGCGGCTGGCGTGAAACACCAACCCCTGCCCACCCCGTCCTCTCTGGGGGTCCGTGGCCGCGACCTCCCAGTGGGCAAGAGCTGGGCCCGGGACAGCTGCCTGGGTCCAGCCCCGCACGCCCCGCTCTGGCCAGGAACCTGTGCCCCGGCACCGCCCTGCAAGCTGCCGCGGAGCATGCGTGGAGCCTGGCTCGCAGGGCACGGCCGCACGCGACCCTCAGGGAGGGGACAGGCACGCAGTGACCCGGTGCCATGGCGTCCTTACGCCTTTCTGGAAACATCCCACGCGAAGGTGCCAGCACGCACGTCCACACCCCTGGTTCCAGGAGACCTTACGCAGGACCCAAGTCTCGGGGAAGAGGCGCCGGTCCACGGAGAGACACAGGCAGACGGTGCCCCTCCCGCCTGCCTCCCCACCCCCCGTAGAGGCAGGGAGGCTCCCTGGCCCCAAACCCCCCCGGCCAGCCTCTGCCCAGGGCATGGGGTTCCCCTCACGGCTCAGCACTGCGGGCTCCGGAAAGCCCCGGGAGGCGTCGCTGGAGACCCAGGACAACGCCCGCGGACTCCGCTCATCGCCCTCCACCCCCACCCCGCCCTGGCGTGGTAACTGTTCCTGTCTCTGTCCTAAGTTCTCCTAGAGTGAGAGCAAAGAAGAAGGGATGTATTTTATTTTACCTCCCAAAAGGTTTAAAGAAACTTTTTTAACATTTTTTTTAACCTTCCCCTGAGGACATGTCTGTTGATTTCTAAGAGAGAGAAAGGGAGGGAGCTTCCAGTACACGCTGACCGGGACCGAACCCACAACCCAGGCCTGAGCCCCGACTGGGGATCGAACCTGCGACCTTCCAGTCTACAGGACAACGCTCCAGCCAACTGAGCCACACTGGCCAGAGCCCAAAAGATTGTAAAATGAAAATAATAAAAAATAAAAAGAAGTCACCACAGTCAGGATGGAAAGTACAAAACTCGCAGCACCAGCAACCCTGCACTTTCAGTCCAGCACCTTATGCAGAAAAAGCAGGATCACTGGCCTCCCGGCCCACGAGCCAGGACCTGGCCTCTGCTCCAGGCGTGTCTCCCTAAAACAAGGACCCTTACTGTCGTCCCTCGTGCCCCCCACCCGCGTCCTACCTGCGCCTTCAGCCACGCAAACTTGCTGGCGGGCAGCTCCAGGGCCACCTTCAGGACGTGGTGCTGCAGGGTGGGCGGCACCTGCCCGCGCAGGCCCTGCTCACAGAGGACGCCTGTGCGGGGAAGGGCGCGGTCAGGGCATGGCGAGGCAGGGCTGCCGGCCTGGCCGCCAGGACGCACGAGGGACTCCACGCCCCAGCAGCAGGGCAGACGCAGGCCCGTCCCCTGGTCCTGGGGCCACCGTCCCACTGGCTGTGCCCGCTCGTCTGCCCAGCACGCCCACCCCTCCCGAGGCCTGTCTCACCACTGAAGGAGGGGCCCAACCCCGGCCCGCCACACGGCCCCCTGGCCGCCCCCTACAGCCCACTGCCGCCCCCACTGCCGCTCTCCGGGCCGTCTCCTGTTCACGTTGCCCCGGCGGAGCCACCGGCCTTGCTCCCCGGACTGCAGGCAGTCTGCGCACAGACAGGCGCCGTCCAAGACCGGGTCCCTGACCTCTGGCCTGATTTCCAGGTTCCTCTTTGCTTAGGAAGGACACAGCCACTAAATACCAACAGGCCATTCTCGTGAACGTTCTGTGTCCCCAGCAAAGAGCGCCCCTGCCCCCCGATCGCCAGGGAAGCTCCCTGTGGCTGCAGGCAGGGCTGCCTCCACAGCTCACTGAGCCCCGGGAACGGCGCTCTGCAGGCCTCCCACGGCCCCAGTGCAAGGCAGCTTTATTGCACAAATGCCTTCATGAAGGAAACACGGTGGGACAGGCGGTGCTGCGTCTGCAGGTTGCAGCCTGCAGTGGGCTCGCCAGGCAAAACAAGTGGGCTTCCTCCTCGGCCTCTGCGCCCGCCGGGACAGGGGCTCTAGGAGAACGTCACGCAGCCTGATTTGCTGGCCGCCTGCGGCGGCCGCTCAGGACACCTTCTCGCCTCGTTCCTCTCCTGTTCAGGTGAGGCAGGCTGGCTGGTTACAGACATCGGCCTGAACACAAACCAGTGGCTGGCAGGCCGGCGGCCACCTGTGGAATCGCACCTCTCAGGAGTTTGCTGAAGTCGAAGTTGTACTGCGTGACCACGTGCGGGACCACCTTCTGGTACAGGCAGATGGTCTGGAGCAGGGCGGCTTTCAGGAGAATGGTTTCCGCGTCGTCTGCGCCGGAAGGAAACGGCCTCAGTCAGGAGGCTCAGCCGGGCGCCCATGAGCCATCGCAGCCAAAGGCTCGCTGAGCGGAGGCTGTGGGCAGCACCCCCGTCCCCGACCCCATCCCCATTTCAGTGCTGTGGCCTCAGGCACGTCAAGACCACTGTATCTCTGTGCTTCAGTATCCTCTGAACAGTGGGACACACAGCAATGCCAACCTCATGGGACCACTGGGAGGGTGCACAGGGCACAGGCATGAGACACAAAGCCTGCCACCCTGCTGACAAGGTCTGTGTCACCAAATTGGATTCCCGGGGACCCTGCGGCCACCTCCACCGGCACAGCACGAGAGAGGCGCCGCCAACCTTGCCCGGAAAGGCCCAGTACATCTGCAGCAGGCTCACGCTCACCGCAGGGGTCCCCGCGCGCGCCACCCCTGGGCCGGCTCGCGGGGTGGGCCCTGCCCGCGGCTGCCGCCACAGAGCCTCACCGCACGGGGGCGCCTCGCCGGCCACCGGAGCCCCACCGTCACGCCTCTTCCCTCTGTCACGCCTCTTCCCTCTGCCGTCATCCTGGCTGGTGTCCTGTTTCCTGAGCGACTGCCAGACCCACACGATGGTGTTCAGGTCTGGTAACACCTGAGAGGGAAAGAACGTATGACACAAACGAGGACGAGAACCTGGGACCAGAAACCCCGACGAGGAGAAGCCGCAAAGGGGCAGGGCCCGCCACCTGGCCTGTGTGGGCCAGACTAGACGGGGCTCAGGGGACGGGGTGATGGGCGGGGCCCGGGGACGGGGTGGTGGGCGGGGCCTGGCCACAGCCTCCGGCAACTCCCGTTTTAGGCCCGGTTCCTGGAACTGTGCACAGTGAGGATTTGGTAAAAACAAGTCTGGTAATTAAAACACGTCCCTTAAAGCCCATTTACCTGAGCAGAGCCTTTGGAACAAAGGGACACATCCTTATGACTCTCTGGGGGACCTGCCAGCGTCACGTTGGCTCTGCCAGGGCAGCCAGCCAGTGTGCAGACGACCGGCCTTCCTGACTTACCAGAACCACCCGTGGGGAGGAGGAGCGAGGGGGGCTTCCCAGCACCCCCCTCCCACCAGCGTGGGTGCAGCTTCAGGGGGCGGGCACCCCTTGGCTTCGCCTCCTGCCCGCCCCCTGTGCCTTCCCAGCTGCTGTGCTGGGAAGCCCTGGAAGCTCTGCGGGGAGGCCCAGCCCGCCTGCCGCGCCCACCTTGCTCAGGGCTTCTCTGAAGAGCCGCACGAAGTCCCCCATCAGCGGGGCCGTGTACACGCCCAGCGCCTGCCACGCGTCCCCGCTCAGGCAGTGGTCAATGGTCTTCAGTGCTCTCTCCAGGATGACGGAGAGAAGGGACAAGGCCGTGCGCTTCACTGACTTGCTGTCCAGCTGGGAAGACAAAGTGAGGTCCACACGCAGGCCCTCAGGCCGCACGAGGACACACCTCCAGATCGTGGGGCCCCCACAGGGAACCCACATGAGACGTCGTGAGCGGAGGCAGCCGGAGGAGCCTGCCCCCCTGCACGTGCCAGCGAGATGGTCACCAGAGGAGGAGCCTGAGCATTAATTTTTACTTCTGTCTCATTGTCAGAGGCAAGTCTTTCCTGATAACCAGCCCGCTCACACGGATGGCCAGCGTCAGCACCAGCCCAGGGGGCACCACACAGCAGCCAGCCCCGACGCCAGCCTTCGCGTCGGCTGCAGAGATGACAGGGAGCGGCGGGCAGGGAGAGCCAGCGCTCTGCTGGGCGGGTGCGGCCCTGGCCCCAGGCCGCCGACACGCGGACCCTCGGCTGCACTGGAACAGCAGGAGGGCCGTCATGGTCCTCGCTCACTGCAGGGACGGAAGGACATTCCAGAACCTGTGCTACTTATTGCCAAACAAGAGGGCAGGCGGCTCCCAGGCTGGCAGCAGCACGGCACCTCCCGGGTGCTCGGGAGACCCGCCCCGTGCCCATCGCCCGGCGGACGCCCAAGAACAGTCAAGTGCGTGAGCACCGGCAGAGTCCTGAGACTCAGCCAGGCGGATGCAGAAAGGTTTTCTGAGGAGCTTCTGGCTGAACAACCAGCACACCCACCCCCAGCATCCCAGTGCCCAGGGCTTCCTTCTGCTCACACGTGGCGCCCTACAGCCACTCCACAGGAGACGTGCCCGGAGCAACAGCGACCCCGCCCGCCCACACACGGCGGGGGCAGGGCCCAGGCGAGAGCCCACAGGCCGCCCGACGCCCGAGACCCCTCCGACACCTCGCTTCCTGTTTCTAAAATGAGCTAACTCTTCTCTTCCTCATGCTAAAATGTATGCTACCAAAAATGTCCAAATAACACTGTAAAGAATGGAAGAAAAATGTTTCGAAACCCCCCACGCTGTGCCGGTCTCACGTGGATTCACACACTCGCAGCTCGGGAAACTGCGGCTCCCCTGGCCCTGCGGCCCCGCCTCCCCCACAGCCGCTGGCCCAGGACACCGGTAGGCGGAGGGCAGACACACCGCCGGCCGCACTCCCCGCAGCCCGCCGGGGTAGAGCGCTGTGTCTCCCACGGAACAGGCAGGCACCCTCGCTGGGCCCCCATTCCGTGACGATTTGGCAGCCAGAACTGAGGCCCCCCCGACCCTCGTCCCACACATGCTCTGCTCTGCTCCTGGCCGCACCGCCCCCCTCGGCAGACGCCGGGGTGGGTGCTGGCACACACCCAACCCCCTCGCGGCCCGAGGGGTCTCTGCCCCACCCCCCCGGGCCACCGCACTCAGGCCGCGTGACTCCCGCGGCGGTCCCTGGTCCCGCTGTGCGCACACTGCCCCCAGCCTGCCCTGCAGGAAGGAAGCCCACCTGCCCCGGGCCACCTGGGTCTGGGAGGAGGGGCAAGGCCTGGGCCCCACGGGTGCCACAACTCCAAGACGTTCGCCTAAGGCCGCGATGCTGTGGGGCCGGGTGCGTGAGTCCCCCAGGACGTGGCTTCTGATGGGACCTGGGGCCTTTTATAATAGACAATGATGTCAAATATCATCACTAATTTCTCCTGCAAGCGTACCCTCCAGAAATGCCTGAAACAGCTAGTTCTCAAAGCAAAGGTTTCCCGGAACTCTCCGCGCCGCCCACGTAAACTGCGGAAGGGGGTGTGCCAGGCCGCGCTCCCTCCGCCGCCCGGGTCCCAGGCCCGCAAGCCTCTGCTCCGTGGCACCAGGCCTCAGGCCCAGCCGCGGGGGGGACGCCACTACCTTGCCCTGAGCGGGACTGTCCCTTCCCCAAGCGGGTGGACACAGGCGAAGCCTTCGAGGCTCACGGAGAAATCACCACCCGGTGCGTCAGGCTGGTACGCTCAGAAACGCCCCCCGCCTGGCCAGTGGGGCAGCCGGAGGAAGTTCCAGAGGCGCTGGGCACTTACGTTTAGTGCCTGGGTGAACATGACCTTGTTGCACACCAGGGGCACGGTGGTCACCATCACCATGGCCAGGAGGCGGGGCAGAGGGATGAACTCTCTGGTCTGAAACGCCCGGGAAATGTCCGGCTGGGCCTCGTAGATCTGCGAACGGGAGGAAGAGAACGAGCTGGGTCCGGAGGCGAGGTTCCGCGCCCAGGGCTGGGCGTCAGCTCTGACAGGGGGGCTGGTCCACTGACACGGCGACCACGGCGGGGTCCCAGGCTCGGGAGACCTGCCCCCGGGGCCGCTGGCGAGAGGGGCCAGGCCACGAGGCCAGCCGTTCCTGGGCAGCGGCCTTCAGAAAAAGCAGAGCTCGGCCGGCAGCCTGGGAGCCTCTGAGAACCTCTGGTGGCAGCGGAGTCACTGCGAGAACCACCAGCTGCGCCTCCGTCAGGTGCGGCGCTTGACAGCACCTGGCAGACACGCGGGGCGGCAGGAAGTGCTCCCGGACGGCCAAGTCAGGCCGCCACGGGGGCAGGCCGGCTCCCTAGGGACACACGGCTGCTGAGCAGAGAAGCGAGGACCGCTGCGCAGGCCCAGGCCTGCAGAGGCTGCGCACCCGCTGCCCCTGCCCGGGGCCGCCACTGCGGAGGCCCTGCCGGGCGCAGCAGCAGAGCGGCCCCGGGCATGTCAGCGGCAGGCGGGCCAGGAGTGAGCGAGCGAGGGAGACGGAGAGAGACGGAGACGGAGACGGAGACGGAGACGGAGACGGAGAGAGACGGAGACGGAGACGGGGACAGAGACGGGGACGGGGACGGAGACGGAGACGGAGACGGAGACGGAGACGGAGAGAGACGGAGACGGAGACGGGGACGGAGACGGGGACGGGGACGGAGACGGAGACGGGGACGGGGATGGAGACGGAGACGGGGACGGAGACGGGGACGGAGACGGAAACGGAGACGGGGACGGAGACGGACGGAGACGGAGACGGAGAGAGATGGAGAGCGAGGCTGGGGGAGCGAGCCCTCCCCAGGAGACGAGGGACATCAGCATCTTTGGTCAGGGGATCAGTTCACACCTGCTCAAAGCCGTGGGCCACTGAGCCACAGCTCTTCCAGTCGTTCTAACTACTCAAAACAGCGAATTTAGAAACAACCCTACAATAAAGACATCCCGCAGCCCCGCCCAGCTCCGTGGAAATGCGTGGAGACCTCAGCCCACAAAGCCTGGGCCGGGAAGAGGAAACTGCCTCCACCGACTCCAAAGGCTCAGCCTGCCCGGCCGAGCCCTGGGAACAGCACAGGGCAGCAGAGGACACAGAGTCACGTGACCTGCAACACCCCCAGAGGAGCCCGGCCGGAAGTTCTCCCCACTCTGAGCGTCGCCAGGTCGCCCGCCCTCCCGCCCGCCGACCGCCCACCTGACAGAGGCCGCGACGCCCGGGTCTCACCTTGTTCAGGAGCTTCATGTTGTTGAACCAAGTGGGCTTCGCCCTCGGGAGGAAGGAAAACGTGGTCTCCTTGAAGTACCTGCTCAGCAGGTCCGGGCACACTCTGAGGATGCTCACCACCAGCTCGGCCACCAGCTCGTCCTCGGGCGCTGTCCTCAGGCCCAGCAGGAAGTGCAGCAGCGTCAGGTTGCCGCCTCTGCGGGAGGAGCGGCTCAGCCGGGAGCTGCCGCCACGCGGGCTGGGCGGTTCCCCGCGTGGCATCGAGTAGGGTGTTTGGCCCGTGGGGGGCCGCTGCAGGGCTCGAATTTCATTGCCCCTCTTGGTCCAGTCCCCGTCGCCCCTCCCCTCTGACTTGCAGGGAAGAGGGAGAGAGCCGGTCCCCACCCACTGGGATCCCCCGTCTGCCCGGGAGTCAGGCCAGCGCGAGGGGCGGGCCCAAGGTCAGCGGGCAGGGCCCGCCCCCCACGGCACTGACCTGCTCCCTACCCACCCGTGAAAACGTGGGACTGTAAACGAGTGTGCGAGGTGCACAAGTGTACAAAGGAGAGGAAATGCATCTTTCTTTTAAAACTATTGTGCTTTTCTACATAAGATGCTCAGTAACGGCCCCGGCCCCCCAGCCATGAAATGACCTCTCAAAGGTATGCTGCTTCCTCTGCTTCTAGCGCATTTCACACTCCCGTGCATATGCTTAGCAGCTGAAAGCAGCTACTACAGGAGAGAAAACCTTCAAAACTTGTCCCAACCTGGGGCAGTTTTCAAAAGTATAAGAAGACTAAAAAAGAAAGAAAAGCAGCAGCAGCCAGAAACCCTACAGACATTACCACCTGCAGGAAGGGAGCAGCTGGTCAGGACGTACACGGCCAAACCGTGGGCTCTGGGCTTCCCCCTGCAGACACCGCTAAAGGAAAGAGGTCTTTCCATGCCTGCTCGACACTGCGAAGCCCTGAACGCCAGGGCACCCCGAGACCGTGCCCTGCACGCATGCCACGCTGCTGGCTTCCGGACCCGCCCCATTTGGTAGCCCCTTATGTACTGGCTATATCTAAGATGCTACATGACAGCTTCACATATAGTAAAAACTTTTCAAAAATTAAATTAGGAAGTATAATTTTGATCAGAATGCCATCTTCTTAAAAGCTTAAAATTCTTAACATGAAAGTTCATAAGCAACACATACTTTGCAATGTGCTGTCAAGGGAATGGAACACCAAATCTAAATTTAGGGGTTGCAGAAATACTATGGCTACTTTAATTGGCAACAATGTAATAAGGAAGAGCAAGTCACTTGGCTACAATGTCGCAGAGTCCTAACTCAGCAACAACATAACAAGGCAGGGCACTGCACTTGGCAACAATGCAACAGTGTAGAGAGCCTAACTGGGCACCAATGTAACAAGGCAGGGCACTGTGCTCTGCAACAAGGTAACAAGGTGAGGCACTTTCTCCTCTGAGGGCACAGGCCCTGGGCTCCTCCAGGCCCAGGTGGGAGGCTGTATTTCCACTTCACAGGGGAGGCGGAGGACAGGGTCCCTGCCCGCACTCCCAGCCACAGCAGCTCAACGCAGCCCAGCCCGCTGTCTGCCTCTGTGCACCAGGCTTCACGGCACATAGTCACGCCATGTTTATGTCCACACTGTGGGTGTCCTACAGTGGCACAGCTGTAGGCCACCAGACAGGCTGTGAGGCCCGCCACGCCTAAGACACTGACCACTGCGCCCTTCAGAGGCCCTGCCTGCCAAGACTGGCCCACCCCACGGTGCCTCGCTCTCCCCGAGCGCCGCCGGCATGCCAGCCCTTGAAGACCGGCCTGCTCCCACCCTCGCCCCCCGGGTAACGGACACGCAAGAGGACAGCGACAGTGGGCCAGTCCGAAGGGGCCTCCAGCGAAGGCCTCCCGGAGGCGGGACACCAGCATGGGGCCCCCGCAGGGAGGGAGGAGGCGCAGGGCTGCTGGGGGCCCGCGCTTTAGCCTTCTCTAGGCTTTCCACGGACGTCCCCTTCCTCTCCCGGAGGCAGACCCTCATATCCTGCCCGTGGCTTCCACACAGCGTGTGAACCACAGCCCATCTGAGCAGACGCGCCCACGGGCAGGCCCTGTGCGCTCCTTTAATGGCCGTCCGGTTTATGGACCCACGTGAGGGGAGGGGGTGTAAGCCGGGCACCGTGTTACCTGCCACGCACTGCAGCAGGGGAGGGAGCGCGTTCCGACCGACGAGAAAGGGAAAGGACGTGGCAAGTGAAATCACAGCAGCGTCAGACTCGACACAAGGCCTAAGTCCCAAGCCGGGAGAATTCCCGCCGCGCTATCCCCTCTTGACCGGTGAAAACTATACCAAACAATCTATATCCTTGTAATAAAGTGCCAAGGGGGTGAAAAAGAAGTCATTCCCGCATGACCAGAAGTCCGACATTTTCACTATCAGGTTGAAAAAGCGAGTTGGAGACCAATGTATCTAACAGTAGGCCGTTTCGGTTATTAAAACATCGTGTCGCGGGGCATGTATTCCAGTCACAGAACCACAAAGGGAGTCCGCAGAACACACCCAGCCCTTAGCTTCGCACGGTGCAGGAGGCATCGTCGTAGTTACGGAGCACGAGACAACGTGGGTAAACAGAGCCCGAAGCCCTGGCCGGCGGCAGAGTGCCCCGGCCCCCGCCCCTCGCAGACCTGCAGCCACGGGCCCCCCGCCCCGCCCCCCAGGGATGGCGCTGAGGCCCCTCTGCGGGAGGCGTACGAAGGGTAACCGCAGCCGCAGCCTCCGCGTGGACGCACGAGCGCCTCCCCCCGGGGGGATGACGTCCTGACTCTGTGCCAAGGCCGGCTGCCACCCTGAGACCTCCTCCCCACGGGCAGACAACAACCAGAGGCTCTCAGGTCCCCAGCTCTCCTGCCTGAGATCAGCTTGCGTCTCCAGCACTAGCCCTCACCCACCGCAGCCCCAGCCTTAAACGGGGTCTCCCCGCACAGCCCGCAAGTGGCGACTCCTGAGGACACGCCCCTCACTCATGGGCGTCACATTTTACCTGCCGGAGGTACCCAAAGACGCGTCGTAGAAGTTGATGCCGTGTTTGAGCGAGCAGCACAGGTCCAACAGGAAGCCGTGCACCAGCTCCCGCGCCGCGGCTTTCCCCGCCTCCTCAGCAGGCGCCTGCAGAGGTTTTAAGGGACTCAGTGAAAATCCTGAGGCAATAACCCTTAGCAACAGCTACAGGGGAAACCAGCAACATCACACGCCCTACGGCACCTTAGAAAACACCTTAAATTCAACTCTTGGTACCATTTCAAAAAAATTAAAAAACCCAGAAACACTGTTAAAAACTATTCCTAAGGGGGCAAGTTTAAACCCGTATTTTTAAATAAGCCTCATAATAACTTGACTTCTCTTGCTCTTTTCCATAAAGTCCCACATTGGGGAGTGTTTTTATTAAGCCCTGAGGCCTCCTGGTGACAGAGCGTGAAACGTGCTCGAAACAGGCGGACACAGGCAACTTGGGACGGGAAAAGCAGCGAAGCAGAGGAAGCCCGAGCGGCCGCCACGCAGGCCACGGCCATGTCCGAGCCAGGCACCACCCTGAGGGGTTTCACCGGGGGCAGGAGAGAAAGAGGTAAGCCAGCATGCGAGCGGCGACCCCCTGACGAACAGCACATCCGGGGGGGGGCCTGAGGCTGCCCGGGCGCTCAGGATCCTGAATTCAAGGCAACAAGCCTTGACACCCCAAAAGCCAGGCCTGGGGGAAGAGATGGAGCAAAGGGAAGGAAGGGGCAAACGGGAGGGGCAGCCCTGTCCCGGGCGCGTTCCGACGCTTCCCAGCTGCAGGACTGCGCGCTTTCCTCACGTATGAATATTTATATCGTGGTATCACAGAGAGGAAAACGCCGCTGTAAACGTATCTACAACCACGCCGAGTCTAGGTGGAGAGCGAACACGCCACAAGGCAAGAGAAGCTGGGAAGGCGCAGATGGCTAACGGCAGGCGCACACCCAGCCCGTGGTCCGGCCGTGAGGCTCACACGCCGGCGCGAGGCCGGCGGGCGGCTGTACCTCGGTGTCTTCCAGGTCCACGTCGACGGCTCCCTTCCAGCCGTAGAGAGACGCAATGTGGGTCAGCAGCTGCCCGGTGAAGAAACGCACCTTCTGGGTTTTCGTGATATTTTTGTTGTGAACCACCTGGAAACAGTGAACACATCAATTTCAAGGAACTCCATTTTGAAGGCAGTGTTTACCGATTTTTTTCATTATAAAAATAACATAGGCTTATGACAAAATACTTGACAAAGAAAAGGAACCACATGAAGAAAAAACAGAAGTCACCAATAGTCCCAACATCCTAGGATTCTGCGACGTGTCCCTCCGCGCCCTGCCCCGCCCCCACATGGGCACGCACTGGCTGGGGCGTTCGCCCCGAGACTCTGGTCACAGACAGTTGTGTGCCTGTTTTCCCGGGTGCAGCAGAGCTTTCCCACAGCACGAAAACTCCTTCAGAACATCCTTCAGAGGGCTGAGCATCACCTGTCCCCCGCGCGACCCCGGCTCATGGAACCATCCCGGCGGGCAGGCAGGCCCCTCCCGGCCCTGGCCGTGCCGACTGGCCCTGGGCCCTGGCCGCAGCCGTGCTCTTGTCCACCTGAAGGGGCCTCCGCCACCCGCAGCCCTGGCCTGGGCACGTCTCTGAGACCCGTGACACAAGCTGCCAGGGCCACCGCCTCCCCAGGGCTGGACGCTTCCTCCAGGGAGGCACCTGGACTGAGCACCTTTGCTAGAACAAGCCGGTGCTGGCTGGGAAGGTGAAAGAACCTGCATCTCCTCACTGGCATTTTTTAAAAATTTAAAAACATTGTTCTCTTTTATTGATTTCAAAGAGAGAAGGGAGGGAGAAAAAGGGGAAGAGAAACATCGATGTGAGCAAGAAGCATCTACCAGTGCCACCTGTACACAGCTGCCTGGGGACCACAGCCACAACCCGGGCGCGTGCGCTGACCGGGGATGGAACCCACGGCCTCTTTGGCCTGCAGGACGCCGCCCAACCCTCCGAGCCACACCCGTCAGAACCAGCGCCGCCTGCTCGAGGCCAGGGCTCCGCAGCCTCCCCATGGTGGACACTGGGGCCCGGTGGCTGTCGCGGGGCCGTCCCATGCGCGCGCCTGTGGGGCGCAGGGCAGCCTCACTGGTCTCTCCTCACCAGACGCCAGGTGCACCGCCCGTCCCGACAGCCAGAAAGGCCTCCGGACACTGCCAAATGTCCCGGGGGGCGGGGGAACAGTTGCCCCAGCAGAGCACCGCTGCATTAGGCGCGGTGCCGGGGACCGTTTCTCTGTGGACCCCAGTCTGCGGCCTCCCGACAACCGTGCACACCAGGAGGGCCAGGGAGCTTCTCTCGCGGATCCGCAGTAAAGGCAGGGGGTTTGCAGTGCTGGGCTCGGGGGGCGGGGACGGGTCCTGTCGGACGCGTGGGAAAGACAGAAAGGCAAGTCGACACAAGGTGACGCGCCTGCTGGCCCGTGAGTGAGGGCTGCCGGCCATTCCCAGCCCGCGGCGACCGCGGTGGCTCCCGGGAAGTGGCGACCGCGCCTCTCTCCCCGCTCGGCCTGAGCACCTGCTTCCCCGGGGACCCCCACGGTGGCCCGTCCCCAGCACTGCCTTTCTGCTTAAGAAACAGCTTTCCTTCGAACCCACGCGACACCCTCCGTGAGCCAACGTGCGCGGCCGTCGGGCCCTGTGAAACACTGGAGAACGCGCGGGGGGCACGCTGGTGGGCAAACGCGTACCTTTGTTTTCAGCGTGGACAGCAAAATATTGACGGTAGAGAGCCTGTCTTCCTTTATGCCCGAGCTAAAAATGCAGGGAATGAATTCTGAAAGCAAAAGTTCAAAGCGTTAGACTCAGGATATTTTGAATGTGAAGTCATGAGAGAACATTACTTCTTACTACTGCACACAAGACCTTTCACTTGGTGTTTCAAGTTTGCCTTTTTAACTGCACAGGTTCACAGTAGGAATAACCACTTCTGTGACACAGGAAAGCCATTATCTCCAGGCGAAACAATGGCAGAACCTTCAGGTTCACTGTTCCCTAGTTCCCTTTCACTTTCCCCTTCTCACGTTAACTTTAGTAAAATTAACGTAATGCCGACGGTCTCCAAGAGGATGTTCACTGTGACTACGGGTTTCCAAAGCCTCTCTTCGCACAGGCTTGCTCTGAGATGGGTCTGGAGCAACGGCGGTCATTTCACCGACTGCCGGTTGGGCCTGGGGGCCCCACGGGTGCCAGGGAACGGCCAGCACAGCCGGGCCCCGCGCCGTCGCTCGCAGACTGAGGGGCGCCGGGCGGAGCCATGAGAGCACCTCCAGCTTCGCTCCCACCACCCGCCCTTGCGGGCCCACAGTTCCTGCAGGGGTGGACTCGTGATTCTCACAGAAAGAACCATCAGAGAACCCTGGGCAAACCAAACCAACTGGAACGCCACAACGCAGAGGTGGAAGTCCACACGGCTGACCCTGGGTCACCAGTTAACTGCCAGCCTTCAATGTGGCCACACGGTGTTATGTTTAAACGTCTAGTAAAAGGGGACCACGTGTGGCAGTTGTACAGCCGCGTCCGAAGGCGGACGGAAGCACGCCGCGCCTCATTTCTGACAGCTGCCCAGCCGCGGGCCTATCCTCAGCGCCCTTGCTCACTCGGTGCCCTGCAGGGGGCGCGTTCGCGCGCTGCCGGCCGAAAGGGAAAAAGGCTCCCCGGCAAAGCCTCCACCACAGCCTCGCTTTCCCCCTCGGGCGGAGGGGCCGACACGGACTGGCTGGAGCGCGAGGCCAAGCCGCAGGACCCGACACCAGCCGTGCCCGCACTGTGTGGACAGGGCCGACCCAGTCCTTAAGGAAAGGGGTGCCCCCGCTCCCCTGCACACGGGGGCCCAACTCCGGGGGACATGCTGAACGACGGGCTGCGCTGCGCGGGGCCAGGGTGCTGCCCCCGCCATCGTACCGAGTGTCCCGATAAAAGGCGAGCAGTGCCAGCAGGGGAACTGCCCTGGGGGAGGGGCAAGCCGGGGAGCCGGCTGAGCTCCCTAACCCACATGGCACGAGGTAAAGCCACCACCACAGCGACTACACTCCGCCCTTTACACACGGGCACCGCAAAGAGCCGGGGCCAGGGCAGCCGTAGCCTCTGCGCCTGCCCCGCCCGTGGTGCGGACGGCGCCGGCGCTCCAGGCTGCCCACCCGCAGCCGGCTCCGCGCTGACCCCGGCAGGTGGCCGGCCCTGACCGGAGCTCTGCCGCCGCCCCCGGCCTGAGGCCTGCTTCCGGCTGCCGGCAGGGGAGACACTGGGCGGGCACCAAGCTGAGCCCCCGAATGACGGCGCTGCCGCCGCAGGCTCACCCACCTTTCAGCTCCAGCACGTGCAGCACGGCGCTGTCGTCTCCGGCGACCAGGAAGGACAGGGCGAACTGGATGTAGGCCTGCCGGACGTCGTGCACGCCCTGCGGGACAGGAGACCAGGGTCACACGCGCAGCCCCACACGCCCCTCCCGTCCCCAAGTCCCAGGGCCTCCTGGCTCAGTGACAACCCCTGGGCGGCGGCTGCTCCTGCAAAACACAAAAAGCGCTCCCTCTGGCCTCCCCTCCCCACCCCCCTTCTCTCACAGGCTCCGTCGGAACACAACAGGGAGGGCTCAGCGGCAGGTGCCCTGCCCAACGGCACCGCGCCAGCGCCGAGTCCTCGGACCACTAAGCGCCGAGCAGAAGACTCTCCGCCGCCCGGACACCATCGACTCTTGGTGGCCAATAAACAGCACACCCCGGTTTCTGAAAACCTGGAGAGAATGGAGAGGCTGGTGCTGCCGCGGCTAAGGCGCCAAGGAGGCGGCACCGGGTCTCCGGCAGGTCTCACACACTGACACCCGACACCGAATGAAGCGCTGGTGCCGCCCCACCACACCCCAGCGTGGCCTCCCCGGACCTCCGTGGGACCTGCCCTCAGGCACAGCCCCGATCGGGGACAGCGGGTCCTCGGCGCCCAAGGTGGGACCCGCAGCCCACACGTCAGGGGAGTCCTCAGGCCCGGCTGACCAGTGTTCCCTCCCAGGAACGTCCAGACAGACCCGTGTCTCATTGTCCCCGTTTACACCCAGAGAACCCAGCGGGCGGCCACGCGGGCGCCGGCAGCCGCCCCCGAACCAGCAAAGCGCTCAGCTCCTCCGCCGCCCGGCCCGAGCGCCCTCCCCGCAGGTGTGCAGACGCGCGAGCGGCAGGGAGTCGGGGGGGGGGGGCCACGGAGAACGCTGCCCTGGATGCCTGACGAGCACCTGGGGGCGGCAGCCGAGGGGCGGCAGCGATGGTGGTGGCCAGCACTGCCCCCTGAGCACTCGCCACGGGCGTACAGCGAGCCCAGCGCTGCCACCTGGCACCGCGGCACCGCCACTCGCACCCCCGGGGGCAGAGGGCCCGCCACAGCCGCCTGCTGCGGGAACGTCACGCCAGTCGCAGAGCCGCTGTGCGAGGCCAGCACTGGGGCTGGTGAGGATGAGCGTCACACACGACCCCGCGTTCACCCGCAGAGTCTGTCCTCTCGGGGCCCCCGCGGCACTTCCCGTCACTGTCCCCCCTCGCCTCTGAGACCCCGAGGCCTCTGTGCGCGTTGGGCCAACCCCCCTCGTTTGTGGGGCACGTGCCTCTTCCGCAGGAGATGGGACCTGTGGCTCTGGGGCGTCCGGACGGCGGCGGCGCTCGGCCCCGAGGTCACGGGGTCTCGTGCCGACCAGGCCAGAGCTGGTCCCCTGCAAGCACACAAAGCCCTGCGCTCGCCGCGCCCTCCCGGGGGCCCGCCTGCGGGGCCTCCTCACAACCGCAGTGGGGACAGTGGCGACTGGAGGTGTGGACATGAGCGCCCCTGCGTCGCGTGCCAGCAACGCCCCAGCACGGTCACCGTTTACCAAACACCAGCGACGTTCCGGAGGCCGTGGTCTCCGGCGGAGAGAAGATGCGACAGGGCCACAGCACCGCCCTGCCCCCGCCCTCCAGGTGCCTCCTTGTCTCTAAACGCGCGACTCAGAGGAGCAGGTGGTGCGCCCTGGGCGCGCGGGCCCGCGTCACAGAGGCAGGCAGCGACGTGCTCACCGCCCAGGCAGCCTCGGTCAGGTCGACGCTGGGCTGGCCTCCCAGAGCCGCGGGCGTCGCCAGCTGCTGCCTCTACGCTGGCCTGCGGTCTGCGTCACCCGGCGCGGCAGAAGCGCAGGTCCCAAGAAGGGGGAGAACAGGGTCACATCTGGGGGCAAAAGCCAATCCCTCGTGTGCAGCCCCCCCGGGTGGGTGGGGCACGCCTGTCCTCCCCCAGCAGACTGAAGGCGCCACTAGTTCGGGGGTTGCATTTTTATTCTTTGTCCACTGATGTACTGGGAGTCAGGGCCCGGGAATGCTGGTCCCAGTCACCTGCCATTCTAGAGGCTTCTGTCCTGCTCGGACACAGCAGAGTTGGAACAGACCCCCGGGGTCACTCCGGCAATGGATTCTGAGCCAAAGTAGACCCGTCTCGCCCCCTGGCACCCGTCCTGCACACCCAGACAGCCCCGGGCCTCGGGGTCCTGACCCCTGAGAAGCAGGCCCTCCAGGGACAGCACCTGCCCGGCCCCTGCCGCAGCCCCGCCTCCCACTCACGGCCCCTCCCACCGGCCTCCGCCTTCCTCCAGGGAAATCCCTTCAAAGGCAAGGGGGCCCCCCATGCCCGCTCCCCGCTCTTGCCCTGCGACCTCACTGGCCATCAGCCCAGGAAGGAGGCGTCCCGGACTCAACAGCTTGTTCCAAGACACTGTCTAAAACAGACTGAGGCTCGTTTGGCCAAGCTGCTCTTCAGAAGGGAGCTTTCAGCAAAGCCTTCTTTGGTGGTATGAAAATACCCATAACTCCCTCTTTATGAGGCCTCAATAATTCCCTCCCCAAAAGGGCGGCAGGAGACTCAACAGATGCGGGGAGATTTAAGACACTCATCCACCAAATAGAACGCAGGGCCCGGCCTGGATGCTGGGTCGAGCCACGAAGGGTGTTCCGCGGCCGAGACCAGTGAGGCAGCACCAGGCCTCACCAGGACACCGAGACGGAGCCGGGCCGCAGGTGACCCCGAGGAACCACCGGCAGTGCGGGGTGGCGCTGCGGTTTCGCTCATTTCACGGTGGTTTTCTGTGAGAAACGCACGCTGAGGCACCAGGGGTGAAACAGGACACACGCGTGGGGCTGGCTGCACCTGGCGCCCCAAAACAAACTGAAAGGTGGGTGGGGCAGTGCCTGAAGCTGGTGACAGGCATGGGGCTTCACTGTGCTGTCCCCTGCTCCTGAGCAGCCCCAGCACACGCTGCACGACACGAGTTTTACTGATGCCTAGAGACCACTCCCCCACACACCAAGCACCGAAGGAGCCCCACGCAGGACACACAGCAGCGGGCAGAGCGCCGGGGCCGCTGTCCCTGCGTCTCGGCGGGGCCAGGGGACGGACCGGGACCACACTCAGCGGGCGGGGGCGCGGGGGGGCGGGACCCTGGTGAGGACACCTGCCCGCTGATGGCCAGGTGGGAGGTCTGGCCTGGTGTGCCAAGAGCGCAGGCCCTTTTTTCTAGAAACACCATTGCATGTCGAGGCCTCACTCGCTGACCAGGACCTGCTGACACACAAACAGAGCAGGGCACCCGCGAGCTGCTGCCCCATGGAGGGCACCCACCCACACTTCCAGGAAAGCCTCCCACACTGGGTCGGCCTCCCAGAGCCGTGGGCATCGCCAGCTGCTGCCACCGCGATGGCCCTGTGGTCTGTGCCACCCAGGGCCGCAGAAGCCCAGGTCCCAGGAAGGGAGAGAACAGGGTCGCTTTGAACGCGGCCCCCCACCGGGGGCCACCCTCTGCCGTGCAGGACGCCTGGCACACACACCCCGCCCCCCGCCCCGGGCCCCAGCGGCTCAGGAACGTCGGCAGGGAGAGCTGGCCCGTCACTCGGAAAACAGGACAAGCTTCCACAACTGCCCTGGCCCGTGCCTCGGGGGCACGTCCTCCCAAGCCCGAGTCCCCAAACCCGTGCTTTCTCGAGAACCTACCGAGCCCAAGGGAAGCTTCCAGGGCCGCCAGGGGACGGCGTTCAGCAGCCCCCCCGACACCCACACTCACACGCCCGTTCTTTCTAGGCACCCCGGCTTCTCACTACGACACACTCGGGAGGCACGAGACTCTGCAGAGTCCTACGCGACCTCCCCGGTGACGTCACTGGCTTCGACTTCAAAGGGGTTTCTGCAAAGTGGCTAGAGTGTGAACAGGAGCCCAGGCCACCCTGGCTCCACGCCATGAGGCCACCAAGCTGACTTAATTCACGGACAGGCCACGCCATCCCCACGGGCCGGGAAGGCACCGTGACGCTAAGCCCCGAGCAGCTGGCCTCAGGTGCCCGCCATTCAGGCTCTGCCAGGTGAGCAGGGAGTGAGGCCTCCCCGCCCCGCAGGCCACGGCACACGGTCCTCCACAGAGGCCTCTGTCTCTGGCACATGGGGACCAAGGCCAGCGAGAGAACTGCGCCCCCCAGAAGGGAAGGAAACACACCGGAAGTACAAGGTGCTGGGGACTCACCTTCGAATCTCTCTTGGTCACCAGGGTGTGCAAGGTCTTGTTATTCAAATCAAAGTGGCTGCAGACGTCCCTGGCGGCCTCGGGGCCCTGGGTCACCATGGCGGCCATGAGGCTCAGGCAGGCCCGAGCCATCCTGTGCAGGGGCAACGGGGAAGGGGCCATCAGGGCACGCGGGGGCACGAAGCCACCTTCGCCAGCTGCGGGCTGCTGCCCCCAGTCAGAAGAGGGGAGGAAGGAGGCATGCGAGCATGCTTTTAAAAAATCCTAACAAAAACTACAAATGAAAAAGAAAATCCACGTCTGAAGAGGGCCAAGGACACAGCACATGAGCTACAAAGGTGGCAGCTCCTCCGTCCCGCCAGTCACCCCGCAGCAGGGGGCCGCGTCCCACCCTGCGCTGCGGGGCCCTGAGGACGCCCGCGGTGGCTGCCTTCCCAACCCCCGAAGCCACGGTCAGCCTGGCCCACCACACACTGGGCGCTGGGCCGGGGGCCGGGGCCAGCAGAGGCCCCAGCCACGGGCACCCTGCGTCCTAGTGGCAGAGGGGGAGGGTTAGCAGGCTGGCACGGATGTGACGTTGACGTGGAACTGGGCGAGCGCACGTACAGACGCGCCCTGTCCTCTGCGGGGTAACAGGGCTGGGCGCCCGCGGACGGAGAGCGTCCCAGGCCTCCCTGGAGGCAGCGAGGCCGGAGCCATGGCGGTCCCAGGGGCAGCCTGTCTGGGCTGCTGGGCAGAAGGCCAGGCGATGCCAGGGAGGCCTGGAGCGCCCCAGCACAGCGAGGAGAGCAGCCGGGCAGGAGGGACAGCGACCGTGGTGCAGTCAGCGCGAGGGGGCAGGGCCCGGTCAGGGACATGGCTTCGCTTCACGCTCGGGAGTGGACGGCGCCCACGCACACATGGGGCGCGGCCCAGAGCAGCCCGAGGCCGCCCCGCCAGGCAGCAGCGCCACCTACCTGTACCCCGAGGCATACAGGGACTCGCAGATGAGCTTCATGTGGTTGTTCAGTAGCTTCTTCACGATGTTGGTCCCCACAGCGTGGAAGTGGGACAGATCGCTGGCCGTCCGCAATAACACGGCCTCAAAAGCTTGAAATATTAACAGCATCTGTGGAGACAGTTGAAATGGTGATGAAGCTAATTTCTCTCCCCTCCACACACCTGCTCCTGTGTCCGCCAGTCACACATGGGTGGAAAACCACCGACTTACAGGATGGGCCCCCAGATCCTGAGCCGAAGGCAGGGCGGCGGCGGCGGCTTGCGGGCCGTCCGGCCAGCCCCGGGCTCTGGAATCAGTCTTGTCCTCACGGCCGAGCTAAGCAGAGAAGGGCTTGCTCACAGCTACGCCAAGTGACACAAGGAACTTCTATTCACACCTGGGCCTCATGGCTCCGGGGACATCCAGGCCTGCAGCCTTCCCGCAGTGACCTGAGGTTTCGACGGGTCCCTAAACAGCCCTTGTTTTGAACTTCTCTGCGACCAGAAAACAAGTCTATCTCGTGTGCGTCTGCATCTGCGACACACAAACTCTACCTATTCTGTCGTTGAAACAAACCACATCGAAAGCCAGCACACGTTTGGATGAAGAATCAATGACCCTTTCTCCTGGGATTTTTCCACCATTAAGAAGTACTTTCCACTAAGATGCTTTCAAAGGTCACGATGCAAAAATAACGTAACCCTACAGCAGCACGCGGCCCGAGCACCGTTTTCCGTAGAAAGCTGGCCATGTTTTGAAAAGTTACCCTATTTTGCTGTGTATAATGTGCACCTTTTGCCCAAGTTTCTGAGGGGAAAACAAGGACGAGCGCTACACACGGGTGTGATGATGGCACGCCACGGGCATCATAATCCCGTGTATGACGCGCACAGAGGGGGGAGCGCATCGCACACGGCAGGATATGGTGCACCGCAGCCCTCCTGTCGGGGCAGACAGGGCAGCAGCGCCAGCTGTTCTCCCCTTCGTCAAGCAGTTCGGGAGCAGCGCACCTCGCTTTCTGGCCGCTTCTCCCCGCTCAGCAGCTGGAACACCTCTGCGCACTCGACGGAGATCTTGATGTAGCCTTCTACGACGTCATAGACGTCCTCTCGTGGGAGCGTCTTGGCCGCAGCGACGAAGGCTTCCAAAGCTGAAACAGGGATGTGCACACGTTAACACAGACAGTCTCCCCGCAAACACTCACAGCCGCCCCTGGGACAGAGGGAGGGGTCCAGCCGGAGCACCAGGCAGTGGGAACGGCCACTGACTGAGGCGGGGGACACGGCCGCCCACCACACACAGGTGGGGGCAGGGCTCTAACGCTGGTCCACACAGAGCAGGACGCGTCTCCGTCCCGGCAGCCCCCTGGCCCGGCCCCAATCCGCTCCTGGCACCGCGGGGTCTGCGCCCGTCACCCAGCCCCCCTCTGCTCCCCATCCCCCATCGCCACACTGAGGGGGTGCGACCCGAGAGCGAATACAGGAAGGGTGGTATCTACACACACACACACGCACGTGCACACACACACGCACACACGCACACACACACGCACAGAGTCAGCTTTAACACGGGAAATGCCCCCTTTTGCAACATGTATAGACCGTGAGAGCATTAGTGAAGTAAGTCAGACAATGAATTGGAAAAGCCGAACTCACCGAGTAGAACGGAGGTTGCCAGGGCCTGGGGGGTGGAGGGAGGGCGGGGAGAAGCTGACCACAGGGTACAAACCTCCAGCTATAGGGGGAGTAAGTCCTGGGGATCTAACATTCAGCGCAGAGACTACCGTTGACAGGACCACACTGTGTACTTGAAAGTGTTCAGAGAACAGATCTGAAGTGTCATCCCACACACAAAAAGGTAACCACGTGAGGGGATGGCCGTGCGAACCGACCTTCCTGTGGCCATTTCACAGCAGACGCGTGTATCGAAGCATCGCACTGTGCGCCTTAAACTCACATATACATCACCACCTCACGAAAGCCGGAAACGACACCGTCCCGAACACCCGGGCGAAGACAAAGTCCCTTGACATCTACCAAGCGCCCTTCCCGGTGAGGCGATGCTGCCACAGGAAGTGACAGGAACCCATCAGCCGGGAGGGAGGCTGCACCCTGGAGACCAGATTCAGACACGGGCCCTTCCCGCCCACCGCGCGGCCGGCCTCTCGCCCGCACCTCCTGTCAGCCCGGCTGCCCTCGGAAACCTGTGCGGACGCAGCGCCTGAACGCCGGGAGCGCCGGGAGGCCTCCGAGCACTACCGCACGCCTGGGGGCGTCACCGTCTGGAGAGGCTCCCCGCCTCGCCCCGCATCCCTGCTGAAAAGCCCCGTCCTCGGGGAGCCTTCGCACATCTCCCAGAGGAGACACAGGCCCCTGGGCACCAGGACTGCTCACGGGCTACCCTGTGGGTGCGGCTGCCTTCCCCCCGGACTACGCGTAAGCTCCCACTGGCAGGGCCCTGTCTGATGTTCACGCACGGTTTTCTCTCCCCCGACTAACTAACGAGCAAGTGAATGAGTGAATGGCTGCAATGGGTAGGACTCGGCTGAAGCAGGCCTCATGGCCCCCCTGCTTAGCAGCGGCAGGCAGCAAGCATTCACAAACAACGTCTGTGGGACCCAGACTGGGTATGGGGGCTATCCTGGACCTTAACCTAATGTCTTCACCCCGGGAGGAACACTGTCAGAGTTTCGTTGGACACAGCACCACTGTTTCCATACAGTGCGACGTGCAACTGTGTTGCCACCCCCCCCCACCCCACCCCCTGCAGCCTATATACTTTCTACGGACTACATGGCGCTGGGAACGGCATCGCACTTCCCCAAAAGTGTGGTCATAGCGGGGCTCCCCGTCCGTCGCCGGACAAGTCCCTGCGGTGGCCCCACTTAGATGAGGTTAGGGGTCAACGCTCCTGCAAACATTGCCAAGAGATGCACCGTCGGGGCGCGATACAAAGTTGCTGGGAAGCGCTACGCAAATTTCCCCACAACTGCTGTAGGACGGTTTTCGAGGTCGCCGAGGGGCGCTGCCCGGGCAAGGGAGCCAGCCGCGTAGCCGCCTGGAGCTGTCGCCAGCGCACCAGTCGGTCCTCCGGGGTCGCGGGAGGCACAGGGCAAGGAAGCTCAGCGCGCCCTCCCGGAGCGGTCCCGGGGCCCCGGGGCCCGACCACGGCGGTCTCAGCTGCCGTCCGCAAATCGGGATGTGCGGCTCTGTCGCGGCGAACCGCAGAGAGGCTGAAAGGAGGGGCTGCGCCTGGGACACGGCGATCTGTGCCACTGACCGGGCCCCGCGGCAGGGGGGCCGCCTCGCACGCACGTGCTCCCCCCGCCGCGGCCGGCCCGGCACTCACCCGGCACCGCGCCTTGAGGGTCCTTCAGCTGAGCCTTGAAGCGCACGCCCGTGAGCTCCTCGGTGCGGACCCGCTTGGCTGCGCCCGAGGGGGACGCCGCGCCGTCCTGGCCGTCCCCGGCCTTCCTCTTGGGGACCCCCATGCCGAGAGGGCGGGACGGCGCCGGGATAGGCACCTGCGGACCTGGCGCAAGCCCTCTCAGGCTGCCGAAGCGCGACTGCTGCCCCACGTGCGCAGGAAGGGGCGGGGCCTGGAGGAAGAGGCGGGGTCCCGGAAGAACGGCCGGCGGAAGGGGCGGGCCTAGGACGGAACAGGCGGAAGGGGCGGCAGTGCAGGGCGGGGCCTTACGCGCGGGGCCTTGGGAAGTTCCCCCGCCGGGGGCGCGCCTAAGGTCGGACGGCGGGTGGGTCCCGCTCGCCCGCTCGCCGCCTGCTACTCCGGCGGCTCCATCTCAACGATCCTCCGCTCCCGCAGGGCACGAGGCCGGGCGCGTGGGAGCAGCAGTGCCCACTCAGTTAGCGCTGCCGCCGGGAGAACTCGCTTGGCCCGCAGCAGGATGCCTTTCCCCCGGGAGCCCTGTGGGCTGGCTGGGAGGGTGCCAGAGCCCCGCTAAGCGCCAGGCGGGCTGATGCCGGAGGTCCTCGCACGGGCTCCTGGGCCGAGGGTCGTGCAGGCGCCCCTGAACCTGACCCTGAACCGCAGCTTGTCTCTCACCCGACCCAGACTGACCTGTGCCCCAGACACCCCCAAGCTGCTGGGAGGACGTGAGCCCTTTCGGCGTGCAGGGTGGGAGCGGAGAAACAAACGACCCAATGTCCGGCGCGACTCCTCGTGGACAGGCCGGCAGCCTCCACATCTAAGTTCCCTTCCGTCAGCGGGGACCGCAAAGCCAGCCCTACCTCATTGCAGGGGTACCCTGCGCTGAGAAAGTGATGCGATGTATGGAAAACGGCTTTGACGGCCGGGGGGGGGGGGGGAGTACTGGGCATTTTTGCAAGATGTTGTTGACTTGAAAGCCGCATTAAATGCTCTGAAATAACATGGAGGTATACATGAATAAGCAAAAACGGGCGGGTGTATTTTTTGAACGCCTTCATCAGTATTTGGTTATGTGTCCAGTAAACCATGAGCCAGCTCATTGGATGAGTGATTCCTGGAGTTCTCTCTCAGGTCCTCCTCTGCTTTCAGCGCACGCTGTCTTGTGTTCTGTAAGCAGGTGTGTAGTGGGCATCTGAGGCCACGGCCTTGCGGGGCCTCTGGGGATTTCAGAGTCTCAGAGAAAAAGCCCATGGTGCTCACCCTGACCCTGTGGCCGTAGTGCCGGTGGAATCGCCTTAGGTATAGGCGAGTCAGAGGGAGCTGCCTGCAGGTCTGAGCTGATGGGACGCAGCAGAGTGAAGAGACAGGGACAGGCTCCAAATTCGGGCTGCAAAGTACAGCGCTCTTGGTAAAGACGGCAGCTTCATTCTGACTGTCCACTCCAGTTCCCTTCCGTCATTAACTGCCGACCAGCAAGTTTTCACCTGGGCAGACCTGACCCAAGGGGCCGCAGGGGAGGAAGGAGACACTCCAAAGCCTTGTGTCCAGTCCCACCTGTGGGACTTTGGGCACATTACCATCTCTCCTTGCAAAGACTAACCGAGGGTGAGGGAACCCGCCAGGGTTACGCAGCTGGTAAGTGCTGGAGCCACTCAGGGGAGCCTAACCCCAATTTAAAGACAAGTTGTCAGTGCCCTCCCGGCTTTAGCGAGTGGCACACCTGCCAGGGTGTGGCTCGGAGGTACACACAGCTGCTCGGACTGAGCTGTCTCGAGGCAGCTCACTCGGCCCCTTGTGCAGATCCCAGGCTCACCGGGCAGCGTGTGCACAGAGACACACATGGCTTTTTATAGGGAAGGCCTGCCTGGGGAGAAGGGACCCAGAACGCCCTGGTCTAGTGAAGATAAACATCATCGTTGCTAGAACATTCTAAGTAGGCACCCGCTTTGGGGCTGGTTCACTTGCTGTCCCCTGTGAAACTCCGCCCAGACCTCAGGGGGCTCCGACGGCCACTTCACGGGGGCTCCCCTCGCCGCTCTTGCAGCCCGCGTCCTCCCCGCTTCTGCTCCCTTCGTTGCTGCCGTCACTCCCTGGTGGGATCAGTCAGTTGTTTGTCCAACTCTTTTACTAAAACATGCGCTCTGCAAGGGCACAAAACAAAGCTCAGTGCTCCATCCCCACCGCCTGGGACAGGGCTGGGCACGTCAGTGGCTCCGTAAATGTTGGTTGGATAAATGTCTGCATCGATACGAACAGGAATGACCACGTAGATCTGGGACCTGAGCTCGGAGAATGCCAGTCTATCCGAAAAGGCAGGCTGAGCTTGCGCAGCTCCCACAAAGCCTTGGGGCGCAGGTTTTGGAGTCTCCGAGCTGTGAACGGGCCCCCGGACTGTGGCCGATGACCCGAGGGAGGTGCGCACCCTCCGGTAGCCAAACTGTTCATCTCTGGGGCCACCCCTCTCACCACACGGGTTAAACATGGGTGTTTGTTCATTCCCTCTCCAGTCTTCTAAGTTCAAATGCAAGTTCTGGAAAGATAAAAGGAGAAGGTCAATCAGAGCCCCTAGCGAGTGCCTACTGAAGAGCGTTCATCGAGGACCCCGAGAGCGTGAGAAGCACACGTTGCCGTGCACAGGATGACATTGTTTTCACAGTTTGCACTGCGTGCGTCACCGCACGCGCCAGTACGATCACACCCCATGGGGGAGAGAGATGGCGTTCCCTCCCCTGTTCGGTACCACCTTTGATCTCCTTGGCGGTGAATGTTTTAGTGGAGCGTTTACTGAGATCAAGACAGTTCCATGTTCTGTTTGTTTAGCAGTCAGAAGAACAAAGCATTCTTTCAAGGACCATCACACGGACTCCACTGAAGGACACAGTGTCCATAGGCGAGAAAAGATAAGTAACGCCGCGGCTTCTCGATTCAAGTCCACAGAGCGCCGGTATTTGCTCCGTGCATGGCATTGCCCAACCAGGCAAAGCAGATTCAGAAAAGCAGTCCCAGACCGGACCGCGCAGAAGGCTGGGGTATTCAGCTGGTGGCCTTATTCTTTGAACAGCAAAATAGGGCAAAAGTGCACCCAACTTAGACATTAAAACACCAATGATAAAGTTTAAAGCTATTGCAAAGACTGGGCTAACATCTTAATCATTAGATAGGAATATAAGAAAATATAGAAAATTTGTATTCAAATTAATAGATAGTGAGAGGACTTTATACCCACAAACAGGATACATATTCTTTTTAAATAACAGGGAACAATGATAAAAATGGACTATACTCTAGGCCACAAAAGAGACCCCAATAAATTCTAAAAAAATCAACAACAGTCAGACCATGTTCTCTGATCAGCAAGCAATACAATTAGGCCTTGATAAGAGAGGATAGGTTTTTAAAAATCCCATAAACCTGGCGGGGGGGGGGGGGGGGGGGTCTTCTAAGTAATCCTGGAAAAGTACGAGGGAAATTACAAAAGACTTGGACTGAAACACAAAATGAAATGTTAATAGTGGGAGAACAGTCTCAGAACTGTTGGTCTCAAATGGGCGTTTAGGTTTAATAGTAAAAACTAGTTAGTGACAATAGTGTATCGTAAAACGTGCAGCAGGAAGCAAAGATGTTTTGTGGACCATTTGTGTGTGTGTGGGTGTGTTTGCGCATGCACGTGTGTGTTTTAAGTTATTAGTTTTTAAAATGAGAAGTTTTTAATGGAAACATCTTGACCGAAAACCTGTTGTAGAATTTTGAGAACCATTAAAACAAAGTTTCATGAGGAAAAAATAAAGCGGCACCAAAAATCCATGGAAACGAAGGGCGTGGGCTCAGGTCACTGTGGAAATGAAGGCGGTGGCGTCCGGCCTGATTCAGGGTTGGAGAACGCGCAACACGCCGTCCGGACGCACACACCCCATTAGTGAATAATTGTGGTTCCTTAAGAATAAAATAAAAACACTTGTTCTCTGTATTGACGTGTGTTTTATTTCAAACAGCTACTTCATCGTTAGAACATAAATACTTATTGTTTGGATCTAACTATGTAATGAATGTAACAGTTCAGGCTTTTGTGGTTTTTTGTTCTATTGTTTCTTTTTTTTTACTTTATTCGTGTTGTTGCCACTACTACAGATGTCCCCTTCCGCCCGCCGTTTGCCCAGCTCCCTGCCACCCCCGCGCCGCCGTCGCCCCGCTGCGGCCTGCGTCCAGGGTCAGGCATGTGTGTTCTCTGGCTGACTCCTCACCCCCTTCATCCAGCCTCCGCTCCCCCAACGGCTGTCGGTCTGCTGCATGTGCCCACACCTCTGTTTCAGGTTTGCTCATCAGTGTGTTTTGTGTATCAGATTCCCCACGCAAGTGAGGGCGCACGCCACTGCCGTGTTGCCTGGGAGCGCTGTGAGAGGTCTGAGACACTAAGGACGCCGGGAACTGAGAACTTTCGGGAATCTGTGCTCCATACCCTTAATCAGAACTCACTTTTGTTGATTCCGAATTGCTTTCCATGGGCTTTGTTTTCTTTTTGGTAGCTTTATGCTTTCCCTTGGACGTTATCATTAAAAAAATTTGAAATATTTTTGTACACCCACGTCTATACCAGCACTATTCGCAGCAGCCAAGAGATGGAAGTAACCCAAGTGTCCACCGGCAGGTGGACAGATAAACAAAATGCGGTCTCCACGTGCAATGAAATACTGTTCAGCCGTAAAGAGCAAGGACGTTTGGACACCTGCTGCAATGTGGATGGACCCGGAAGACATGGTACTGAGAAAGGCCAGTCACAAAAGGACAAACGCTGTGTGGTGCCACTCACGGGAGGCGCAGAGAGTGGCCAAGCCACGCAGACAGAACAGCGGTTGCCAGGGCCCGAGTGAGGAGGATCGGAGGCGCGAGTTCAGCGGGTCCGAGCTGAAGTTCCACAGGATGGAAGGGTCCTGCGGGTGGAGGGCGGCCACGGGCACACCGCACTGGGCCTACACCGAACGCCAAAGCTGCACGCTTAAAACGGTTAAAGTGGTAAATGTGATGTTAGGGATATTTTGCCACATTAAACAATGGGGGTGGGGACACTTCCTGTATCACGGCCACCCTCATTAAGACACGAATTAGGACTCTCGCCAACAGAGGGCGCCACGGACGGCTGCTGGGGGCGCTCCCTGCCCCGGTGCG